TAAATCAGATAAGGATATTGACAAGCTATCCTTATTAATTTAATTTTAAATGCTCTTTACTGTAAAGTCTATGCTACACAATCAGTGATTTTTGCTAGTAAATGTCAAAAAATTATTTCAATTTAATTTTTGAACTTTAAAATTAATATTTATAAAGTTTAATAATCTTGTTTTGGAAATTGAAAATAGGAGGTGTATACTTTTGAATTGCTAATTCTGTTGAGTAAGGTTAATTACATTAGTTAATCAGGTTTTGTGCAGCTTTGGTTATAAGTTTTACAAGATAATAATTGGATTAAAATGTTCTGTGTTAGCTTATAAGCTAGGTTGAATACGATCCATTACAAACATCTTTAATTATTTTAAGCAAAAAAGATTTCCATCGATTTTGTTGGTTTGATAATCAGAATGTTTTTTTATTAATAAAGTTCACTTATGAAGTCCAAGAAGGGGGGGGGGGGGGGGGGGGGTCAGCAAGAAAAGAATAATAGAAATTCCTGGAAATCGATTGTTCTTTTTTGAAAACCGTTAATTTCGGACGTCATAAGTGAACGACCCCTAATGAAAGATGTTTGTAATCAATAACAAGATGTTTATTGTTCGATAATTAGAAATAAACTTATTATAGTTGCATACATAATTTGAATATGAAATGACCGTTAATATATTCTCAACAGATTTTTATCCAATAGTGTTCTAAAATTTTGACTTTCTAGGATCTGAACCTTAATTTTCAACTTTATAACATCATTTAATTCATATTTTATCTTATTTACTTTTATGCAATTTGTGTTTGTGGATATCATTGTAAAAAATAATTTCCTCAATAAATCATCTTTCCCATCATAATTTGAGCACCACAAAAGCCACAAAAATATAATAATAAAAACATACAATTTTAATACAAAAGTAGAGAGTCTCTCCATTATTGGTAGTTAAGCTCTTCTTGACTCTGGGCTATTGTTGACTTTTATTTATTTAGGCCATTTTTTGTGGCATAAAAAAAGAGAATTGATAATTAAGTGGCATAATTTTGGCAATTGATTGTTAATGAATATTTATGCAGAAAAAAATTAAGAAATCATTATTTAATTTCTAAAGATTCGCAAAAACGGCACTAATGCCGAAATAAAAGCTTTTCAAGCTGTTTTTTTTATTAGATTTGTCAATCATTTGCATACGATTTATATGAAGAAATATTTGTGTGAACAGAAATGGCAGCAGTTCCATCAAATTGGCTTTTAATAAAAGGAAGAAGGAAATTTAAAAAAAAAATAAATCATTTCTGTCTATAATTGGAGGTCGATGTGAGTCGGAAGATACAAATTGACTCATATGCAAATATACGGTGATTTATACATTATTTTTAACAGCTATAATTAAATGTTTCTAATCTAATTTACAAAAAAAAAACTACAAAATGTTTATTTGAAACAATTTATTTCTTAATAAGTTTGCCATTGAAAAAACATCGCAATTAATTACCTTTTGGCTGTTTCTTTTTCGACTGCAAGAAGGAAAAATGCCATAAAAAATAAATATAATTTTTATAAAAAAAATATTTCAAATGTTAAAGTCAAATTCCAGATTGATATTTCGAAATCTCCTTTTTCCCTCTCAGTTTTAAACTTTGCTATTTGCGCGCGCGCATTTCAACCTTTTTTGAACAGAGTTCGGATGGAAATATAAAGGCGAAAAATTCAGGCAATCGTCGTATTCATGCATTTTTATGAATTGAAAACATAATTGTTAAATGTAGTACATACAAAAGCTGTTTTGTAGCGGTCGAAGTCATTAACATTTTGTGTATTTTCCATCCATCAGCTGAAAAAAGCCGCCAACAAATCGCAGAAAAAAAATAAATTTCATCATTCATGCACTGCTTTCAGCTGCTTATTAGCATTCAAAGACTTGACACAATCAATACGTTATCTTTATTGTGTACATTCGAATGGCTTATATGCTAATTTTTTTGAATGAGATATATACTTTGTGACACTATTCAAGATAAAATTTAATTTAAGAGACAAAATGTAAATAAATTTTCCGTTTCCACTTCCTTTTCGTGCTTGAATCAGGTCGAAAATTAAAACAGATTTTGTAACGCTCTAAATGCTATTTTAATTTGAGACTGGCTCACATTATGAGTCAAATTATAGGGACTTATAATTTTTCTTGCTCAATCTCCAGAGATCAATGTAGCTTTTAAGCATGTATCATGTTGCTAATTGTAAGGTTTTGTTTACGGTTCATTTAAAATGGAAAAGTACAAATTCTAATTCAAATAACTTAATTTAATGTTGCAGTTTTTGATTGGTAAACTTTGTTTGAACTGGATGTTCTTATTTGCAGTTTTTAAACCTTGTTAGCAAATACTAAGGTGACATTCTAGCAATAGAGGTCAAATAAGATCAAACTCCCCGCTTAGATCTAAAATGAATCTTGAATTGGTTCTGATAACATTCAAAACCTTTTGGAAGAAACCTTTTGCAAGAGCATCTAAGATACTCAAATTTATGACTTTTAACAGATTGAAAATAATAAAAATCATGAAATAATAGCAAAAATTAACGATTATTGCTTTACCACACTGTGAAAAATTACAAAATATTCTTACTGTCAAACACATTAAACCGTAATAATCTTACAGAAAATCTCAATTAAACAGCATGCAACCAGCAAGCCTAACAGACAATTCACATCGATCTCTAGTAAAAAAAAATTTGCAAAAGAAAAATTTCTTCCATAATCGTTTTAAGTACAAGAAATAATTTTTAACCACTCCACATATTGCAGCTACTCATTGCTGTTAATTCAAATTTTATTTTTGCGAAACGAAAAAGAGACTTGACAGAACATTTTAATGCTATGACTAATAGAAATAATTTCATCACAATTCAACTTGTTGACGAGAAAGAGCACAAAAAAAAATCCGTTCACAATTTTTTCTGCCTTCACAAATATCATTCTTGTGGTTAAGGCATCAAATAACACCAACAATAAAAATAATAATAATAATAATGCTAACAGAAAAGGTTTTATACCAATGCTAGCAAACAGGAATTTTTGAGTTCTTATTATTCGAACTTCGAATTTTCGAGGTTCTTATTTTTCGAAAATCGAATCTTCGAAGTTCTTATTTTTAAAATAATTCGTTGTGAATTATTTTTTTTCGAGTAATTTGTAATTTTAGTGAACATTCCTACTAGTTTTTATGCTTAAGATAATCACTGTGATGAAATTGCATTCCTTAAATGTTAATGCTTTAAAAAACACCAAGTTAAAAAAAAAATAAAAAGTATCGGACTTTCTTATTTTGAAATTTTAAAAAAATACCGCGCGAAAATTTTGAATTTTTTTTGTTTGTAACGGACTCTGTTCTCTTTGCTAACATTGGGTTTTATAAAGAATTTCGTAAAAGTTCGAAAATTTCTCAATCTATGCATCGCGCATTAAGGCTTAAAAAATTGAGATGATGAAAATGAAACTGCAACATCAGTCAAATTAGCATGATGAATTTTTGTAGGCACGACTATTGACTCTCATGACAGATGAATGAATTATTGTGTGAATGAGTCGTTTTTTTTGCAAAAAAAGGAAGGTGCCAAAGCTATTCAGTATTATTTGAATTGCAGTAATCGAGTTGTTTCATCTCTTCTTCATGCTCCACACACTTCTGACAGTTTGCAAATAGACAAGTGATAGTTGTTGACATTTCTTAACAATTATTTAATTTACTTTGCCTCACTTACTCAGTCATTCACTCAACTTAATTGTAATGAGATATAATTAATATTGAGTGGTGCTTAGGATTCGTTCATTTGTGTCGTCTATTGAATTTTTGGGACAACCACCCCCCCCCCCCCCCTCCTCATTTCTCCATTAAGTTTACTATAAACACCGATACCGCCTTGTTTTCGAGCTTGAATTTAAAATTTGACCAATTAGCAAGCTTTAGCAACTAGCCACAAAATTTCAGAACCCTCCAAACTACTTTAAATGATAGACATCATAAATAAATGACGCATAATAGCTGGATAAATGGTTCTTGTAAGTCCAATTTAAACAAATTTTTATAACCGCATAAAAATTATTGGAATTAAATATAATTCAATTAAACCTTATATCCATTAATCGTTTACAATTATCTATAATTTTGGATAGTTATTGCATTAAAGTATAGACTTTTGACACCCATTAAGTATTTGCAAGCACTTGTGTGGCTAGATTTTTCACCTTGTTGAGTTGAAAGTAGAAAACAGGGAAATAAGTTATTAAATTCTAGAGGTGTATCCATTTTTTGCAAATCTAATTATATATTGTCGTAAAGAGAAAAGATTTTATTTGCATAAATTTGCATGTTAAGCACCAGAAAAATGCTAAACTATTTTTAAATACAGACATATGCAAATTACATAGCAACAATCTAATCAAAATTCTAATAAATTATTCTTTTTGAAAGCAAATATTTTTTTCTTGAATCACCCACAGCGAATCATGTCAACTTATTCACCTTACATCTATTGCGTTATGCTGATATGTATAACATCGAACATAAACCTACATAAAATTACATAATTAATGTCCATAAAATGATAAAATTATCCGTTACTATCTGACACAAGTTGCGAAGCAAGCATGTTGAAGGTCAAAGGTTAATGTCAAGAAATGCACTATTTATGTGGTAAAAAAATAAGTTCGAGTAGCTTTATTACGATGAAAGCCATGGATTGAGATTTAATGCATTTAAAAAAACATTGCAATTTGTGTAAATTTATTCCATTTTCTTAAGATTGACAGTGTTCGGAGGAATTGCGCTATAACTAGTAATTTTATGCTTACACAACTGATGCTACGATAGCACGTTCCCTACGAACGTGATCAATGACATTCGATTATTATGCTCAATAATTTAACCACTAACCTACCACAAGCGACATTTTATGAAGAACCTGAAATTTGATGTTCATGGAATCATATTTTAATAGCTACATAAAAAATTCATTAAAGTTTAAAATATTTTTTATTGAATCCTTCATACATTGCTTGAATACATAAAGAAAAATAATCCAAAATGATAAAAAAAAATATAATTTTTCTCTGTTAATTTGTTATTTATGACTGATTTGTTAATTGACAGTAATGGCATGCAGTATAATGAAATTATTAGCAAAATATATAATTTTTATTGGTTAATTTATTAGTTCACAAATAAAATTAAAAATAATGTCAAAAATATATTAATTTTTTTATTCATTCTTCTCGGAGATAAAACTGGTGCGATTTAGTGGTTCTAGTTTGCTTTAGATGATTATGATCTAAATGACTTGCGGGACATGGTTTAAAGGAATCTTTAACATATTCTCTGCGTGATGTTGATGAGAATCTTGATTGGGATGAGGCGTTATTATCATATCCAAAGACTATATTTGAGGAATTTCCTTGGTGTCGTCGAACTGTTCGATTTTGATTTGCAAGATGAACAGAGGAAGCTCCAGCAACTGGTGTTACTCTTGTTGATGTAACTGTTGATGATGTTTGATTTGATGGAGAACCGAGGATTCTGTATTCTGATGACATTGATTGTGAATTCGAGCCAATAGCTGATGACGACATGTTTCTTGTTACTGAACTAGACGACATTTGCCTTTGTGACGATTCTGATTGATAGGCTCTAGAATCAGCTTGATCAAAACTTATTGATGATTGTGTATTTTTTGAAAGCTGTTGACCTCCTGATGACTTCTCATAATTTCTAACTTCACTGCTTCGGCTATGTGATCCTCCATGTGTTCCGCCATGAACATCTTGTCCTTGAATAATTTGATAGGAATTAGACGAAGATCTTGTTGATGACTGTTGTGGATGTAATTGACATTCTGTTGAATGATAATGTTCAGCTGATCCACCTCCACTTGTTCTATGCATATAACTCAAACTTTTACGATCTATTCCTTGAGCATTTGATGAATATTGTGACTGTTCATGTAAATTGCTGATACTCTTACGTTGTTGTGCACCAGTAACACTTAAGCCCTTTGTATTCGCCATGTCACTTTGACGATCTGTTTTGCGTGTCAAAATTGCATTCGTCATTTGCTCTGATGATTCCGTTATCACACTCTTGCGATGGTGTTGATGGGACTCTGCTGTAGACTGACATTGTTTTGTCACAGAAGATTGTGATGTCGATGTCATGTCTGTTTGTTGACTGTTAATATTTGAAATATTTCGATTATTTGTAGCATTTTGACTTTGTAGTTGTCGTTGATTGATATTCGAAGACGTTTGATTATTAATGTGCTGTTGATTAACGTTTGAGATATTCTGATTACTAATGTGCTGCTGATGAATGTTTGAAGCATTTTGATTATTAATGTTTTGTTGTTGAACATTTGAGACATTTTGATTATGAATGTGCTGGTCATGAACATTTGAAGTATTTTGTAAATGTCGTTGGTTAACATTCGAAATATTTTGATTATTAATGTGCTGCTGCTGCTGATGAACAGTTGAAGTATTCTGATTTTGTATTTGTCGTTGATTAATATTGGAAGAACTTTGATTATGAATGTGTTGTTCATTTGAGATATTTTGTGACGTTGATAGATGTGACGAAGACGTTGATTGTTTAATAGATGATGATTGTATATTCGCACCAGTTATTTGAGAAGAATGTACTGAATGTCGCGCTTCACCGTTTGTAATTGAAGATGATTTGACTCCATTCACGACCTTTTCAGATGTCTGTGACATTAGAGAGCTATCTCTTATTACTTTATTATCCTTAACATTGTTAATAACATTAACTTTACTCTGACGATTTATCACAATATTTTCATTTTCATTGTCAAATGAAATACTTGACATATTCTTTCGACCACCAACAACTTTGTTCTTGTCGCCAGGTGTTTTAAGAACTGTTGTGACTTTCTTGGTTGTTACCATAATGGCGCCATCACGTTTCATATCATCCTCTTTCATTGGAGCCTTTTCCATCACTTCATCTGTACGTCTTACTTTATTATAATTTATTTGATTCGTTGTTCTCATTACTGATGAATCTTCGCCCAAAACTATTGAGGACTTTACAGTTGATGTATGCTTTCCTCTAACGTGAGTTGTTGATGTATTTTCTACATTTTGACCATATTCATTTCTCTTTGTGACAGACATTGAACCTTCCATTCTCAAATTGTCTGTTGGTTTCTTTTGAGTAGGACGTTCTGCTGGACTATACCCATCCTTTTCTGGTTTGTAAAATTCTCCTTCGGGTTTCAAATTATCAACTGGTTTCTTTTGAGTAACTTTCTCAGCAGGTTTGAATTGATGCTTATCTGGAGTATAGAATGTTCCTTCCACTTTCAAATTATCTTCATGACGAACTTGTGTAACCTTTTCTACTGGTCTAAATTCTGATTTTGTTCGCTTCTCAAAATCTCCTTCTGGTTTGAGATTGTCAATTGGTTTCTTTTGAGTAGGACGTTCAGCTGGACTATACCCATCCTTTTCTGGTTTATAAAATTCTCCTTCAGGCTTCAAATTATCAACTGGTTTCTTTTGAGAAACCTTCTCAGCAGGCTTGAATTGATGCTTATCTGGAGTATAGAATGTTCCTTCCACTTTCAAATTATCTTCGTGACGTACTTGCGTAACTCTCTCCACAGTTTGAAACTCCTGTCTTGTTCTCTTTTCAAAATCTCCTTCTGGTTTGAGATTGTCAATTGGTTTCTTTTGAGTAGGACGTTCTGCTGGACTATACCCATCCTTTTCTGGTTTATAAAATTCTCCTTCAGGCTTCAAATTATCAACTGGTTTCTTTTGAGTAACCTTCTCAGCAGGTTTAAATTGAGGCTTATCTGGAGTATAGAATGTTCCTTCAACTTTCAAATTATCCTCATGACGAATTTGGGTAACCTTTTCGCTTGGTTTAAATTCTGATTTTGGTCGTTTTTCAAAATCTCCTTCTGGTTTGAGATTGTCAATTGGTTTCTTTTGAGTAGGACGTTCAGCTGGACTATACCCATCCTTTTCTGGTTTATAAAATTCTCCTTCAGGCTTCAAATTATCAACTGGCTTCTTTTGAGTAACTTTTTCAGCAGGTTTGAATTGAGGCTTATCTGGAGTATAGAATGATCCTTCCACTTTCAAATTATCTTCATGACGAACTTGCGTAACTCTCTCCACAGTTTGAAATTCTTGTCTTGTTCTTTTTTCAAAGTCTCCTTCTGGTTTTAAATTATCAACTGGTCTCTTTTGAGTAACCTTTTCAGCTGGTTTAAATTCAGGTTTATCTGGAGTAAAGAACGATCCTTCCACTTTCAAATTATCTTCATGACGAACTTGAGTAACCTTTTCCACAGTCTGATATTCTTGTTTAGGACGCTTTTCAAATTCTCCTTCTGGTTTTAAATTATCAACTGGTCTCTTTTGAGTTACTTTTTCAGCAGGTCTAAACTGAGTTTTCTCTGGAGTGTAGAATTCTCCTTCAGGTCTCAAATTATCATCATGCTTAACTGGTTGTTGACGATCAGCGGGCTTAAACTGAGTTTTTTCGGGAGTATAGAATTTTCCTTCTGGTCTCAAGTTATCATCATGTCTCACAGGCTGTTGACGATCAGCAGGAACAAAATCTTCTTTTGTTGGTGCATAGAATTGTCCCTCTGATTTCAAATTATCAACTGGTCTTTTTTGAGTTACTTTTTCAGCAGGTCTGAATTGAGTTTTTTCTGGAGTGTAGAATTCTCCTTCAGGTCTCAAATTATCATCATGCTTAACTGGTTGTTGACGATCAGCGGGCTTGAACTGAGTTTTTTCGGGAGTATAGAATTTTCCTTCTGGTCTCAAGTTATCATCATGTCTCACAGGCTGTTGACGATCAGCAGGAACAAATTCTTCTTTTGTTGGTGCATAGAATTGTCCCTCTGATTTTAAATTATCAACTGGTCTCTTTTGAGTTACTTTTTCAGCAGGTCTGAATTGAGTTTTTTCTGGTGTGTAGAATTCTCCTTCGGGTCTCAAATTATCATCATGCTTAACTGGTTGTTGACGATCAGCGGGCTTGAACTGAGTTTTTTCGGGAGTATAGAATTTTCCTTCTGGTCTCAAGTTATCATCATGTCTCACAGGCTGTTGACGATCAGCAGGAACAAAATCTTCTTTTGTTGGTGCATAGAATTGTCCCTCTGATTTCAAATTATCAACTGGTCTTTTTTGAGTTACTTTTTCAGCAGGTCTAAATTGAGTTTTTTCTGGAGTGTAGAATTCTCCTTCAGGTCTCAAATTATCATCATGCTTAACTGGTTGTTGACGATCAGCAGGCTTGAACTGAGTTTTTTCGGGAGTATAGAATTTTCCTTCTGGTCTCAAGTTATCATCATGTCTTACAGGCTGTTGACGATCAGCAGGAACAAAATCTTCTTTTTTTGGTGCATAAAATTGTCCCTCTGATTTCAAATTATCAACTGGTCTTTTTTGAGTTACTTTTTCAGCAGGTCTGAATTGAGTTTTTTCTGGAGTGTAGAATTCTCCTTCTGGTCTTAAATTGTCATCATGTTTGACTGGCTGTTGACGATCAGCAGGCTTGAACTGAGTTTTTTCTGGAGTATAGAATTTTCCTTCTGGTCTCAAGTTATCATCATGTCTCACAGGCTGTTGACGATCAGCAGGAACAAAATCTTCTTTTGTTGGTGCATAGAACTGTCCCTCTGATTTCAAATTATCAACTGGTCTTTTTTGAGTTACTTTTTCAGCAGGTCTGAACTGAGTTTTTTCTGGAGTATAGAATTCTCCTTCGGGTCTCAAATTATCATCATGCTTGACTGGCTGTTGACGATCAGCAGGCTTGAACTGAGTTTTTTCAGGAGTATAGAATTTTCCTTCTGGTCTCAAGTTATCATCATGTCTCACAGGCTGTTGACGATCAGCAGGAACAAAATCTTCCTTTGTTGGTGCATAGAATTGTCCCTCTGATTTTAAATTATCAACTGGTCTTTTTTGAGTTACTTTTTCAGCAGGTCTGAACTGAGTTTTTTCTGGTGTGTAGAATTCTCCTTCGGGTCTCAAATTATCATCATGCTTGACTGGTTGTTGACGATCAGCAGGCTTGAACTGAGTTTTTTCGGGAGTATAGAATTTTCCTTCTGGTTTCAAGTTGTCATCATGTCTCACAGGTTGTTGACGGTCAGCAGGAACAAATTCTTCTTTTGTTGGTGCATAGAATTGTCCCTCTGATTTTAAATTATCAACTGGTCTTTTTTGAGTTACTTTTTCAGCAGGTCTGAACTGAGTTTTTTCTGGTGTGTAGAATTCTCCTTCGGGTCTCAAATTATCATCATGCTTGACTGGTTGTTGACGATCAGCAGGCTTGAACTGAGTTTTTTCGGGAGTATAGAATTTTCCTTCTGGTTTCAAGTTGTCATCATGTCTCACAGGTTGTTGACGGTCAGCAGGAACAAATTCTTCTTTTGTTGGTGCATAGAATTGTCCCTCTGATTTCAAATTATCAACTGGTCTTTTTTGAGTTACTTTTTCGGCTGGCCTGAACTGAGTTTTTTCTGGAGTGTAGAATTCTCCTTCTGGTCTTAAATTGTCATCATGTTTAACTGGTTGTTGACGATCAGCAGGCTTGAACTGGGTTTTTTCGGGAGTATAGAATTTTCCTTCTGGTCTCAAGTTATCATCATGTCTCACAGGCTGTTGACGATCAGCAGGAACAAACTCTTCTTTTGTTGGTGCATAGAACTGTCCCTCTGATTTCAAATTATCAACTGGTCTTTTTTGAGTTACTTTTTCAGCAGGTCTGAATTGAGTTTTTTCTGGAGTGTAGAATTCTCCTTCAGGTCTCAAATTATCATCATGCTTGACTGGTTGTTGACGATCAGCAGGCTTGAATTGAGTTTTTTCAGGAGTATAGAATTTTCCTTCTGGCTTTAGGTTGTCATCATGTCTCACAGGTTGTTGTCGATCAGCAGGAACAAAATCTTCTTTTATTGGTGCATAGAACTGTCCCTCTGATTTCAAATTATCAACTGGTCTTTTTTGAGTAACCTTTTCAGCAGGCCTGAACTGAGTTTTCTCTGGAGTATAGAATTCTCCTTCGGGTCTCAAATTGTCATCATGCTTGACTGGCTGTTGACGATCAGCAGGTGTGAACTGAGTTTTTTCGGGAGTATAGAATTTTCCTTCTGGTCTCAAGTTATCATCATGTCTCACAGGCTGTTGACGATCAGCAGGAACAAACTCTTCTTTTGTTGGTGCATAAAATTGTCCCTCTGATTTCAAATTATCAACTGGTCTTTTTTGAGTTACTTTTTCAGCTGGCCTAAACTGAGTTTTTTCTGGTGTGTAGAATTCTCCTTCGGGTCTCAAGTTATCATCATGCTTGACTGGCTGTTGACGATCAGCAGGAGTGAACTGAGTTTTTTCGGGAGTATAGAATTTTCCTTCTGGTCTCAAGTTATCATCATGTCTCACAGGCTGTTGACGATCAGCAGGAACAAACTCTTCTTTTGTTGGTGCATAAAATTGTCCCTCTGATTTCAAATTATCAACTGGTCTTTTTTGAGTTACTTTTTCAGCAGGCCTGAACTGAGTTTTTTCTGGTGTGTAGAATTCTCCTTCGGGTCTCAAATTGTCATCATGCTTGACTGGTTGTTGACGATCAGCAGGGGTGAACTGAGTTTTTTCGGGAGTATAGAATTTTCCTTCTGGTCTCAAGTTATCATCATGTCTCACAGGCTGTTGACGATCAGCAGGAACAAACTCTTCTTTTGTTGGTGCATAGAATTGTCCCTCTGATTTCAAATTATCAACTGGTCTTTTTTGAGTTACTTTTTCAGCTGGCCTAAACTGAGTTTTTTCTGGTGTGTAGAATTCTCCTTCGGGTCTCAAGTTATCATCATGCTTGACTGGCTGTTGACGATCAGCAGGAGTGAACTGAGTTTTTTCGGGAGTATAGAATTTTCCTTCTGGCTTTAGGTTGTCACCATGTCTCACAGGTTGTTGACGATCAGCAGGAACAAAATCTTCTTTTATTGGTGCATAGAACTGTCCCTCTGATTTCAAATTATCAACTGGTCTTTTTTGAGTTACTTTTTCGGCTGGCCTGAACTGAGTTTTCTCTGGAGTATAAAATTCTCCTTCGGGTCTCAAGTTATCATCATGTTTGACTGGTTGTTGACGATCAGCAGGCTTGAACTGAGTTTTTTCGGGAGTATAAAATTTTCCTTCTGGTCTCAAGTTATCATCATGTCTCACAGGCTGTTGACGATCAGCAGGAACAAACTCTTCTTTTGTTGGTGCATAAAATTGTCCCTCTGATTTCAAATTATCAACTGGTCTTTTTTGAGTTACTTTTTCAGCAGGCCTAAACTGAGTTTTTTCTGGTGTGAAGAATTCTCCTTCGGGTCTCAAGTTATCATCATGTTTGACTGGCTGTTGACGATCAGCAGGTGTGAACTGAGTTTTTTCGGGAGTATAGAATTTTCCTTCTGGCTTTAGGTTGTCACCATGTCTCACAGGTTGTTGACGATCAGCAGGAACAAAATCTTCTTTTGATGGTGCATAGAATTGTCCCTCTGGTTTTAAATTATCAACTGGTCTCTTTTGAGTAACCTTTTCAGCTGGTCTGAATTGAGTTTTTTCTGGAGTGTAGAATTCTCCTTCGGGTCTCAAATTATCATCATGCTTGACTGGCTGTTGACGATCAGCAGGTGCGAACTGAGTTTTTTCGGGAGTATAGAATTTTCCTTCTGGCTTTAGGTTATCACCATGTCTCACAGGTTGTTGACGATCAGCAGGAACAAAATCTTCTTTTGATGGAGCATAGAACTGCCCTTCTGGTTTCAAATTATCAACTGGTCGTTTTTGAGTAACCTTTTCAGCTGGTCTGAATTGAGTTTTTTCTGGTGTGTAGAAATCTCCTTCAGGTTTCAAATTATCACTATGCTTTACAGGTTGCTGTCGTTCTGCAGGAACAAAGTCGTCTTTCTTTGGCTGATAAAAGTCTCCATCTTGTTTTAGATTATCAACTGGTCTTATCTAAAAAATTGATTGAAATGAATATTTGAATGTCAAAAATTTGAATTAAAATTTTACTTGTTTTGGTCTTTCTGATGGACGAAATTCTTCTTTCTGAGGAGAATAGAATTCTCCTTCTGGTCGTAAGTTATCTGTAGGCTTTATCTGTTGTGGTCTTTCTACTGTTGTGTATTTTAGAGGTGAATCTCCTGGTTTCTGAGGAAGTTTAGCTGCTTCAAAATCTTCTTTTGTAAAAGTTCTTCGACGTATTGTTGAAACTTCAGTCGTTTCGAAATTCAAATTTTCTACTTCTTCTTTGGTATATGTGTTTCGTCTAATAGGCTTATTCTTTTCGACTTCTCTCTGGTAATCAGTCCTACTTGTTGTTTGCCCATAAAACTGACCATCAGATATGTGTAAATTATCCTCATGCCTAATAATTTGTGAACGCTCAACTTGTACAACTTTATAATCCTCTGTTTTGCGTTTTCCTTCAAAAGTTCCCTCAATTATAAGATTATCCGTTGGCCGTATTGGTTTTGGCTTTTCTGCCATCTGATATTGAGGTTTTTCTGGAACATAAAAGTCTCCTTCGACTGTGAGATGTTCTGGTTGTTCATGAGGACATCTGTGTCGTCTGTAAATTGATACAAAATAATGATAGTTGATTTAAATTCATTAATTTTAACGGACGTACCCGCATGTACACATTTCGCATATGCACTGTTCCTTATGAACATTCGTCACCTCACTATGGAAGGTCTTATCGATTCTATTCTATAAATTAATTACTTTCATTATTTCTGTTGTAAAACAAAATTTAATAATGAATTACCTTATCTTTCCTGCTTTTGACATCTTCAGTAACAATAACTTGATTAACTAAATCCGATGATGAGACACTTTCATCAATCAAGTGATCGCTGCGAATAAAATCAACACTGTCGGTTGTTTTAATATGTTTTTCTCTTAAATTCTCCTCGAGCAAGTTCCTTTCTTGATTATTAATGATATTAGTTTCATCGATTATATTCTTTCGATATCTCAAGTCATCCTCAACTGGATGTTCGACAATTTTCTCATAAAAATCTGTATGCTCCTTCTCATCAATAAGCTTCCACTTATTTGTGCTTGCATCAAAGATCTGTTAATTTAATTGACATTTTAGATTAATTATTATTATTATCATCGTGACCTTCAAAGTTGTTCCATGCATATGTGATCATGTAAACAATTATGAGCATTTGCAGTTGTGTAAGTAATCACGTGCTTCCAGTATGAGAGATGTAAACAAACATTTCCATTCGCTCAAATTCTCTCCCTTACTTAAAATGAGTAAGACTAATACCATGACAGACAATTTGCCGCTTGAAGATGATACAGACATAAATAAAATTGCGTAACTTTTTCTCTCTCTCTGTCTCTTATATACATTTGCGGCTTTTAAAAAAACAATGAATTTCTATAGATTCAACAATTTGCTTGACTCATGTAAGCTCTTTTATTGTTACTCGAAAAAAGAACACTTTTTTCATTTTTTATTTAAGGTTGAATATGCTAATTATTTCCATCATTCAAATTTGATTTAAGTAGAATAAATTATTAAATTCTTCACGAATGGCTTTGCACAAGCTCTTTTTTTCATCATATAATCACGTCATGACTTATTATAAAGTTTAATAGAAACCTTTCATAACAGCGTAGCTCATAAAAAAAATATGGAAAACTTAATTGACCTAATTTGTTACATATCTGGTCACTCTATCTGATATGTATAAATAACAGAGGTCGAAGCGAACTTGGTTCGCCAAGTTCGCTTCGCTAAAAATTCAACTTGCCAAAGTCGAACTGTAGCGAGAAAATTTTTTTTCTATTCGCCTTAGCGAACCATAGCGAACTCAATTTTATTTTTTTCGCTTTAGCGAACTATTAGCGAACTTAATTTTTCAAAGTTCGCTATAGCGAACTATTGGCGAACTATAATTTTTTGCAATTTTGTATGAAATTACATACTTCACAAACGCAATCAGACATCTCTTAATATGAAGCCAAAAAAATTTTTCTAGTTCGCCAATAGTTCGCTATAGCGAACTTTGAAAAATTAAGTTCGCTAATAGTTCGCTAAAGCGAAAAAAATAAAATTGAGTTCGCTATAGTTCGCTAAGGCGAAAAGAAAAAAAAATTCTCGCTACAGGTCAACTTTAGCAAGTTGAATTTTTAGCGAAGCGAACTCGCTAAAAACTCGCTTCGCTATGCTCGCTTCGACCTCTGATAAATAAATATAAATGCACTTACTTTTGTAGTCTCAGTTGTGGTGATGATGTTCGCGATGTCAGGTTGATCTTTTTCAATTTCTCGTTTAATGTCCTGTGTCACATTAACCGGTTCAGAATCAACGTAGGATTTCTCCTCGACGATTGTCCATTTGCCTGTTTTCGTATCATAAACCTTTGTGGTGTATGTTGTGGTCGTTATATTTGAGGAATTCTCGATATTCTCGATCATTTCAGGAAATTCTGCACGTTGTGTGGTGTCATCGTTTGAAACAACCTTTTCGTCTATAATACGCCATTGTTTGCTAAATTCATCAAATAATTTACGCTTATAGATTGTGTGCCATGTTCCCGATTCATCTTGACTACGATATCGGACATATGAAGGACGTTTCTGTTTGTCAAAGCTTTTCGTATCCACATTTATCCAAGTATTAGTTTTTGAGTCAAAAACTTGAATTGTTTCATTAGATGTTGATGATACAGTTTTCTCATTTCGACTTGATTCTTTCTTACTACTCATATTTTTCTCAAGAACTTCTTTTGATGATTTTGAAGTCATTTTTGTGTTGGACTGCATCATGTTATTATTAATGGTTGATGAATCAACTGACATATTTGTTGTTGAGTCAATATTCATATTCATTGAGTCAATATTGGAAGAAATTTGTCCGGTTGTTGATGATGTGGACGTTGTTGCTGCTGTATTTAAATTATTACTATTTATTGACATTGTGTTTCTATTGTCATTTGATGACGAAGATTTTATAGCTGTTGTTTGTGTTGTTGAGTTCACACCCGGCAATATAATATCGGTTTCATTAACCGATGACTGCTCAACAACTACCCACGTCTTTGACTTGTCGTCATACACTTTAGATGTGAATGTTGTCGTGGTGTCTGCTACACTTTTTCCATCTGTGCCTTTAATGGTCTTTGACGACTGGGCATTTTTGGAGAAGGCCGCTTTTGTCTCATTATTATTAGTGCTTGACGATGCCATAGAAGAAGAAGAGAATTCCTCAAACGTAGCTGATGACGACACATTAGAGCCTTGAATTAATGACTTTTCGTTTCTCTGATCTCCGCTTGCTGATGATACTGCAACAGTTGAATTTTTTTCATTACTTTTTCCACTCTCAACGGCGATTACATCATTTCTATTTTGATCTGCGCTGTGGCTGTTACTAAATGTTGAATGTGTGGTAGTGTAAAATTCATTTGTGCTAGAGCTTTTGTGCTGGGCATATGAATCTTTTGATTCGATTTCAACAGAAACTAAGTTTTGGAGATTAGAATCTGTTTGGGCATTTGATGAAGATGCTTGTAAACCAATTGATTCGATGATTACAGATCCATTATTAGATCGTTTTGCATCGATATCAGTCAACATTCGTTCGCCACGTAGAAAGTCATCAGATTGAGTTTTTCCAGACTTTAAAGCCTTTGAGCTGCTCGATGATGATGTAGAACTCGAAAAGAACTTTTGTTCTTGTGACGAGGATGAGACTTTTGTGGACGATGATGATTTCATCACTGAACTTGAAATATCCTTTTGAACCATTTTTTCTTGTAGCATTGGCAATTGTTGTGATGCTACCGTAACTGTTTTAACCCCACCACTTTGTGGGGAGCTTCTGACTTCACCCGATGACACAACCGAATGCGAAATACTTGATTTCATCTCTTCATTCTTATTAGTAACTTTCGACTTTTTTATGACCATTTTTGTATAGTTAATAATTTTTTTCTCACACAAACGCTTATTAATTGATCGTAAACTTTAATTAATCATTCAATAAATTACTTATATCAATTCGAAGGCAATGTTAATAATTGAAATATGCTTTAATGATATTCACACACTTTGTAGATCTATGTATCAGCACTTGACGATCAATTTCAAAATTGACTTTTATTTTATTTTTTATGAACTGCGATCTTGTTTTTACCAACAAATAACCATAAATGGTTTGACTTCTCCGCGCACTGACTCACTATAAATATTTTTTTTCTTCTATATATTGCCTTTTCTTGCCTTATTTCTTTTTTTTTTCTCTTCTTATTCTTATTTTTTTTTTCTTCTCTATACACTTTAAATATATTAATATGAATGAATAAAACAGCACTTCTCCGGTTTCTTTACTTTATATTTTTTTTTTCAGATGATCACTCCACGAAAGCCACAATGAGACTGAGCTCGAAAGATTGTTGAAACAACTTTTATTATTCGCTAATGTTGGAGGCTTTTTTTTCATTCGCTCGCATATAGAGTGGGAGCACAGGCGACGAACGTGAGAGAAAAATAAGAAATTTTGCACACCTACATGGACTTAATATGTATGTCCATATAGTCTAGATTAGAATGAATTTATAATGTATGGATGTACTCGTGTGATAATTTTGTTGTTTTGCAATTTTTAAAGTTCTCGACGTGACGATGAGGTAATGAGGAACTATTAAATCAGTAGTTCTCAAACGTTGTGATGCAAGAAAATCTTAATTATGTCAAGTGTCGTAGAACGATGTTTGAAAAACACTGTATTAAACTCTTTATTTTCATGAAGCTTGCGTGACGTCAATCCAGAGCAGCGGCATTTCATCCAAATCTTAGTCTCTTCGAAGCACACTCCGAATATAAAGTTATTTACACTGAATATTACTTGACATCGTATATTACGAAAAAAGTTGTGACAATATCGGCAATCGATGCCTTTCTAAGCACTTTTAAACAGGTTTTCTTAAAATGTTCATTTTCTCTCCTATTTTTCGTCTCTTTAATCCATTCGTGAAAGCTGTATAAATAAAAAAATATAAGTCTCATCTCTTGCCATATTTAAGGCAATAATTTTACTTACAGACATCCAATTATGCTTTGTGAATGTGAAGAATGAAGAATTTGATGTACAAAAAGAATAAAAAATGATTTTGCTTCTTATTACAATCTACACACAAAAAAATGATGCATCCTCTAATTAAGCGATGTTGCCGAAATTTTATTTATCAGCTATCAACCGTAATTAAGATAAGAATGTCGACAGTCATTACACCTTCAACATTATTTTAAGCATTTTCAGAAGTAGAATAAAAAAAAACTCATTCAATTTTAATACAGCACACACAAAACTCTTCTGCCTGAATAATTGAGGCGTAGCAAATTCTTTGTGTTAAGTCGATTTAATAGTCAATTTCACGCTGTATGCATGTGCCAAATGTATACTTCTCTTGCCTTTTGGAGTCAAAACAAAAATCAATTTCGCAATTTATATATAAAAAAATTACTTTGCTTTTTCGTACGAAAATCGATAACAGAAATACCGGCCAGGCAAAAGAAACCTCGTCGTGAAATTGAAGAAAATGTAAAAATACCAATTTGTGTTCAAACTTGGAGTATTTTTTATGCCAGTTTGTAATGTGAACTCCTACAATGTAATCAGAAATGTTTGTTTATGTTTTTTTTTGCTTGAGGTGTTTTAAAGGAATAAACAGTAAGATCCAGATTGATAAAAACTTTGTTTGTGGGTTATTTGGGACTTGTTCATTTGAAAATTTAAAGTTTCAATAAAATTAATCATTCATTGTTATTTATATTTTGCACAATTGAATTGGCTTTTTGTTATCGGTCATTGTTCAGTCTTATACTTTTTTTATTCGCTTTATGCAATTTCATTTTTGAATGGCACTTGAGTCGAACACATGAAAGAATGCTTTACTGTTGGAATTCTGATATGAAGTCAAGATATGTTTCACCTTTCATTTAGTAATTTTTCTAATAGCGATCCCGAATACAATTCAGAACAACATTCAAAACTTCACTAAGCTTGTTCACTGCTAATTTAAAAATGACGTAAGCTTATACCGTTGAGTGTATTGTCTGCTTAGCATTTAATGTCCCATTTTGACTCTCAAATATAGTTAAAGGATGGAATCAATGAAATTGGAACTGTATTTACCGGTTTCTAGTTTTAATAATAACTTTTGTGTTCTCTTTTATGGCGGACCTACTTATAAAAATATCAGACTTCTTCATGCTTTTAAATAGACACTGATGTCGATCAAAAAACAATAATTAATTTTATAATTTCAAACTTTTTTGTTTCCAAATGAGCAAAAATTCAATGATTTATTGTCAACATTGAATTCCTTCTTTATATTTAATACAGACTTAGCCGTAATTGAAGGTTTCAATTATAACAATTATCTTCAAGGGTAGTCGAAAGGATAAACTTTTGTATCTCGATCTCGATGATCAGAAATGCAAATTCAATAATATCTTTATTTCTGTTTACTTACTTGGATGCAAAATTCACGTCTGTGGATGCAAAATGAGTTTTACATTATTTTCCATAGGTTTTACTTCTTCTTTAAGTTAAGATACTTTTCAACAAAATCTTTATTTCTGTTTATTTACTTGGATGAATGCTTACTTGATTTTCAGAATAATTTTGAACTTTTAAAGATCATTTAAGGTTTGAAAGAAAAGATTAAATTCGAATGAAAACTTAAAGAATAAAATTTGCAAACACATTAATTTAAATTATTATCAGCTTTATTTATTCAGAAAATAGAATATAACCTCCAAAAAAGGCTTTTATTTCATCGTAAAAATATCAATTAATACTTGCATGCTAATGAAAATTCTTTACTATCAACGTATGTAGACATACAAATCGATCAAAAAAAATATTGAATTGATTAATGCCCGTAAATTGAGCAAGTCTAAATTGTTTGCTTTTCTACTCACTCAATAGAAGTTCCCGATTGTAAAAAAAAGTTCGTGTTTTTTCTAATCAATACACAAGTTTTGACTTTTCGTTATCACTGAAACTGGTGACAGGGAAACTATAAATAATAAATTAGCCGGCAAAAAAGTGATTAAATTCTGCTATTTGCTCAAAAATTCAATGACATTGAAAGAGTTCAAGTCAAAGGAAATGGATATAAATTATATTTATTGTCGAGTTTTTGTTTCATCCATTAGTTGAAGTTAAAAAATCCAAAAATATACACAAAAATTGCGAAGAGTAAAATATGAAATAATCATTCCCAAATACACAAAGTCTTTACTCAGTTTGGAGTTCAGCGAACATGATGTTAAACAATAACAAGCAAGAACAGATCTTTACATTTAATAAATTCATAAATTCTTTACTCCGTCTCACACATATTTCAATTTGTGTCAATTAACGATGTTTTCTTCTCTGCTTAATATTTTCTCCCGAATCTCGTAGGATGATTTTTATGAAGAAGATATAAAGTTTTAAAGTTTGATGCTGAACTTTATTTGGCAAATTTTTCGGTATGCTAGCTCTTTCGTGACTAATGTCTTTGCAAAAAAAGCTAGTCATTAATGTACAATGTCATTCTTTTTGGAAGGACAGAGTCATTGAAATTCATTTCTGAGAATCGGAGGCAGTAGCATCATGTTCACTTTACGTGATTGCTGCATCCGAATAGAAAATGTCATGAGAAATAATTGATTGGAGCGCTGTTTTGCTCTCATTTTTATATTAATGCGAATATGATTGTTTTATTATGAATAGTTTTTTATAGCTTAGAATGAGCTTTGTTATTGCTTGACTGGTTGGAGGTCGATTGGATGTTATAAAGCGCTAATATTGCTCTTTTAGACTTTGAGGTCGGATATAGCAAAAGAAGACATACTAAAAGTGAAATTCTGTGACTAATAAAATCTTTTGTAGGGCAATTCTTTGGATGAGTGGAATTTGAAAAAAATGAGCTTTCATAATCCAATGTCAATGAGTTTTGGTTCGAAAAAATGTTTTCGTTAATTTCATATTACTAAGAAAGATTAATAAGCTAGAACTTTCGTAGATCATAAAACATAATTAATTCTTTATAAATGATCTATTAATATGTTACAACTCACCCAAATTAATTGAAAAATGAAAAAATATGTTTGAAAATTTTGTATTTTTTCACGGATTAAGACAAAAAAAAAGCTTTTTTATAACTCGATGACACAAGGAAATTTTTCAAAGAATCGAAATATTACATTAATTAGTAACTTAAAGCACACAGAAAAGCAACCTAATTAAAGATTTTTGTCTGTTCTATAACTCAGTAAAAGTTATTCAATGTGTATATCAATAGTTTTCTCTAATTTTCGATTCTTTGGATGATGAAAATGGAAAATTCCGATTTCTGTCATCGAGTTATTGACTAAAGAATCCAAATAACTTAATTATTACAGCGATTAGAAGTATATGATATCAAAAGTAGTGTACATTTTAGATTTTTACATCGATAAGAATCATAAAATCAGTGTCTCTGATGGGAAAAATCAATAAAATTTCGATTTTTTGCTTAAAATTTTCCAAAAGTCATCCAAAGAATTGCCCTGTAAGCTTATTGGTAAAGCTTGGTATCAAATAAGTTCAGAATCCAGTTAACCTCAAATTTGCTTGATCAAGGACTAGTTTCTGAGGCTATGTGAGGTTCCTTTCCTAGAATCGAAAGTCAATGTAATAGTAAAAACCATCCTCAGTCTTAGCTACAATATCTAAAACCAAAATGCGCTCGAATAATCCTTCATTTAACAATCTTTCAAGTTCTCATTTCAACATGTCAACAAAAACTTGTTGCTTACAGCCAATCACATGAATTACTATGTTAGAGCTCGCAATCATTTCGAAATTACATTTTTTTATTGCTCTAGTCGTAAATTCTCCGCAAATAATCTCACAAAAGATTAGGCACCTTTTTTGATAAGATAATCAGCTTTCACATTTATTTCTAAATTCCAAAAATGTCAAACTGATGCCAAAAGCGCATTTATTTCAATTAAAGAAAAACGAAGTAATAAGAAGTATCAAGTGTGTTCGAGTAGTCATCGACAACCTTACATTATGTATTGATCTCGCATAAGTTACGTTAAGTATGTCGATGTATATTTTTTTTACTTCTATTTTTAAATTATAGACACATAATTGCAAATCTTTGACTAAAAAGGAAACAATCTTTAACGTTATTGACCACCTATGTCTCATAAAAACATTTTACATTCACTGCTATATAGTTTCTCGTAGGCGACTAAGTTTGTCGTAAATTGAGCGAGTCTCTTTCTCTTCTTACTACTACAATTGAAAGCTATAAAGTCGAGCTATTTGATGCGAGTAGTTTAGAGAGTATTGAGAGAATTGACATTTAATGCTCATAAAGAAATTCTTACATGTTGCCAAAAAAGTATTTTTGATCCACCTGTTGATTGCTAAGGAATTTTTTCGCAAAAGATTTGAACGATTGGTGAATATTAAGCGTTGGATAGGACGTTGATAACTTAATTGAAAGGTTTTTGCGGTTAGATTTGAATATTCAGAGCTTTTTGAAATGAAAGCTTGTAAAGCTTACGATTTTATGATTTAAATTGAAAGCTTTAGATTATTTTCTCATTGTAAACTGTATCTAGCCACAATTTATGTAGTCGCGATTCACACAAACTGAATTATCATGTCTAGCTCAGTGAAAAAGCAGTTGACTGACGTTACTACGCTGCTACAGCAACATTTTTCAAGTAGATCACAACCCAATAAAACAACAAGCATAGACACATGTTCCTTTATTTCTTTACATTCTCTTCCAAATAATCAAACAAATCAAAATAAAGTAAACTGAAAGAGTTAAGGCCCAACTTTATTGTAACGAAATACAATAGAAAATATGACAATAATTATAATGTAATAAAAGAGAAGTTGATAAGAGCCTTTATGAGGTAATAATGATAAAAGAATGTTTAAAACAAAAAGAATATTCATGACATGAGCAGTAAAAAATGAAAGAATGGATAGTAAGCAACAAAATAATAATAAGAATAATAAAAATGTTAAAGAAATTATAAATCCAAGAAGAGAACAAGGGGGCAATGATCACTGCCTTTAATCGTAGATCGAATGACATTATCCTTCACTTTTTCCATGAAACGTTCGCTTGTGATGAAATAATCTAAACGCCATCCTACGTTCTTGGCACGTGCGCTATGGAAGTACATTTTAAATAAATTGGTAAGGCTTTAAGAAATATTTTAGGCTGCTACTTACTTATTCATATATGACCAGAATGTGTAAGCTTTTTCATCGGGATGTAATTGACGGAATGTATCAACAAATCCATTAGATAACAATTGTGTGAATCCTTCACGTTCTTCCTTTGTAAATCCAGCATTCTTATGATTAGCTTTTGGATTAGCCAAGTCGATTTCACCGTGAGCAACATTCATATCTCCAGCAATAATGACTGGCTTCTTCTTATCAAGATCCTTGATGTATTCATCAAATGCTTTATTCCATTCTAATCGCTTGTCTAATGTTTTTAATCCACGACCAGCATTAACGACATAACAGCAGACTAGATAATATTTTTTAAATTCGACTGTAATTAAGCGTTTCTCATCAGCAAATTGTCCTGGTAAATCGTAAAATACTTCTTCTGGAAATTGTTTTGTGAGAACTCCAACACCAGGCATTCCTTTTGCTACATTCCAGTAAGTATGATAGCCGTCTAATTTGATCTTTTCGGGAATTTCATCTTCAGTACCGCATTTAATTTCCTATTAAAAATAAGTATGAGTCATAAAAAATTATAAGCATTTAAAGTTGATGACAACAAGAATATCGCAAAAAATAGATTTTTTACTCTAGTAGTTTAATACTTACATTTAAGCAAATAACGTCTGGACTTTCTTGTTTGAAATAATCGACACAGCCCTTATCAACACAGCTTCGTAGTCCGGATATGTTCCATGTGACAATTTTGAGGTTCCATTTTTCCTTAATACTATAATCAATGCTTAAGTCTGACTCGATGCTATTCTGGAATTTCTTTTCTGCTGGCGCTGATTTTTCTGCTTTTTTTGCAGCAGCTCTACCTTTAACTTGTTTTGGTGATGATGGCTTTGGTTCCTCGTCAATTTTGTGTTCATCTGTACTGTCCTTTTTAGTAATTTTGCCTTTTTTTGGTGCCGATTTAGGTTCAGCCTCAATACTGTCCTCTTTTTCGTCTGATTTATTTCCTTTCTTATTGATTTTGCCTTTTTTTGGTTCCACATTATCAGCAATTTGTTCTGTATTTTCTGATTTATCTGTGCCTTTACCTTTTGCCTTCTTTGGGGAAACTTTTTCCTTACTGTCAGCTTTTTTGATGGCTTTGCCTTTTGTTTGTTTTGAGACTGGCTTTTCAGGCTCTAGATCATCAACTTTAGGCTCATCTGCTAATTTTTCATCTTTTGCTGCAGTTTTGCCTCGAGATTTCTTTGCTGCAGGCTTTTCAGGCTCAGTAGATTCGACCATAGGTTCATCAATAGCATTTCTTCTTCGAACGATTCTCTTTTTGTCATCGACAACAGCTGGAACTTCTTCAATCTTTTTTGAGCGCTTTTTGGCGGGTTCTGATGTATCAACTTTCGGCTGTTCATCAGGTTTAGCAGTTTCCTTAGCGCCACGCTTTTTTGGTGCTTCTTTTTTATTATTTTCAATACTTTCGACTTGATCATCTACTTTTTGAGGACCCTTTCCATTACTAACCGGTTCCTTTTTATTCCGTTTTTTGGCAGCTGGCACTTCTTCGGGAATTTCATCAATCTTCTTCTTTGCAGCACGTTTCTTATTCTCAGGTATTTGTGGTACATCTTGTTCTTCAATTTTATCGTCATTTGATGTCACTTCCTTTGAAACCGCCTTTTTTGTAGCACCTTTAGTTTTTGATTCCACTTTTTCAGTTTCATTCTTTGATTCCTTCTTTCCTTTAGCACCTTTTGTAGCTTTAACAGTTATTTTACTATCTGCATTGCCATTGAGTGCTGGTTCATCGATTTTATCGTTCTGAACACTTAATTTTCCTGGAATTTCCTGATCTTTTGGCGTCACCTCGTTTTTATCAATTTTTTCATCACTTACTTTATTATTTTCAGTGGTTTTCTTTCCTCTAGCTACTCTAGGCATGTCTGGTTACTGATCTGGCTAACTTTAAGACTTAATTAACGTGTACTTTCGTGAGAAATCAAAAATAAAGTTTTTAGGAAATTAAATTTGAAATTTAAAAGTGCAAAATCCGTTTTTTGCGTAGGGTTTTGCCCCCAAAACGATCTTAAATTTAAAATTAAAAAGACCGTTGGTAACTTCCGTGCTTAACACACGCTTAAATTAAAAGAGTCAACATTATTATTTTATTACTTATGTTTTGGATATTATTAACGTTTAGCGAAATTCTGGTTCATTGACTGTCCTGATCTTTGAATATTATTTACATTACTCTTAATTCTACTCTCTAATGAACCAATTTGTGCCTGAGCATGCTTAATATTTCTATTAATGAAATCTTTATCAAAATCTTTTTCAAATGTTTTTTGTTCTTGCTGTACTTCATCATTGTATTTTTTGACATTCTGTTCTCTATCCTTTTCCCTCCAATCAGCATTAGACAGCATTTCACGATATCTTTTTTCTTTTTCCTCTTCTGTAAGTTGTGCCTTAACATTTTTATCGAACTTTTTTGGTGCTTCACGTTTTGGTTTCAGTTCTTCTTTCGTGTACTTTTTGACCTCGCCTTTATTTGACATTTCAATTTTCTCACCAGATGCTGTGACTAAACCAAACTGTTTGGTACTGAATGGTGGCTTTCTGATATCTGGTGATGAGGATTGTGATGATTTTTGAGGACTTAGTGACATTTTCTTGTCAAGTTTTTTGCTGCGTAAATCCTCAACAGATCTTGATCGATGTCTATTGTTGCCATCTCTACGATTTCGATCTTTTGGACGTGTATTTCTGTCATCTATGTCTCTCGAAAAGTCCCGATTTCTATACTTATCTTCACCTGATTTATCTCTGTAATTTACACGCTGTTCTCTTGAACGTGATCTATTCTTATCGCTGGATCTTTTGGGTTCACGAGAACGATCTCTGCTCCTGTCTTTCTTGTTACGTTTCTCATGTGAACGTCCACGAATACTGAACATTTTCCTCTCTCTGGATCTATCTCGACTTCTGTTTTTATCAAATCGCTTTTCATGTGACCTGCCACGACTAACAGATTTTTTTCTTTCAAGTGAACGATCTCTACTTCTATACTTATTATATCTTTTTTCATGTGAACGTCCACGAATGTATTGTTCACGAGGATTTCCACGTTTAGGGCGATAATCGTTATTTCGATTCATACCTCGTCTGTCATTTGACCATTGCATTCTGTTGTTCTGCCTTGAATTTCGTTCATTAGAAGAACTTTCACTTGATGATGACCTTTTTTTCTTCTTTTTTGCAATTTTATCAAGTTCAGTGGTTAGTGCCTTGAATTTCCTGTCCACATAATTTGATTCCTCATCATCATCATCATCTTGCTGCTGTGATTTTCCTTGTAATTTCTTATATTTTTCCATTAATAATTTGTCCAAATCTTCAGAATCACTGGAAGACGAACTTGACGAACTGGATCTGCTTCTTTTCTTACTCTTTTTTTTTGATGATTTCTCTGGTTCTTTCTGAAATGTTAAAAACTATGTTGAATTTCCAAAATTTAAGAATTAATTTAATTAACAAACACCGTACCTTTTCCTTCTTTAAAATCTCATTCAGCTTCTTCAACTTCAGTGGATTTTCCAAAATTTTCCTTCTTGCTTCCATTTCTTTCTGTTTAATGAGCATTAATGGATCTTCCATCTCCTTCCTTAAAATATCAACTTGACTGTACTTTTCAGTTCCAACATTGGATATGCGACCAATAGATGAAGGCAAGCATTCAAAGTCAACACAATTTCCCAGTTCATTTTCTTCAAAATGCTTGTCAACTTTCTTTCCAGTTAAAAAATCGTCTCTGTTGACATCATGTTTGCCTTTATACATCCATTCTAGTTTCTTGTCATCATTGTCCATCGTTTAATGTGTTAATCGTTGTGATTAGTCAATTAGTGCCTTATTTAAAGCCAAAATTTAATATTTTCAATTTATTTCAAAAACAATTTTGTGACTTCACTTTAATGTTTACATTCCCCTTTGAAACTACGCTGATCTGCAGTCATTCCGTCAAATAATGACAAAGACACTTTTTTCGTATTTTAGAGTAAACTTTGTCAACATTATCTTATAAGAATGCAAAAAATTAAATAAAGTGTAAAATCCAGCATTCATGGAAGTTTATATAAAAATCTTGTGCTTTTTTCGGAAACGTGTTGTTCTGTCCTTAATATTTTTATTTTCATTGGCATATTTCTTGCTTCAATTCAATGCTTTGCAGCTAATAAGAATTGTATGACAATTTCGTGATCCAAAAACATCAACTTTCACTAATTAATATCTATATTCTCTGCATTACGTATAGAATCGAAAGTATCAAGACGACGACGGTGAATTTGAGGAGATTAATTATAAACGAGATTCTCCACTTATTTGGAGATCACTAAAGGAATATAATTTGACGGATAGTGAAGTTTGTAAAAATTCTATTCAAGGTCTATATCCTTAATTTATACAATGAGATCATCATCTAATGACATTTTAATTATGAACAGGTATAAACCTTATAGTTGACGAGCGAGGATTTTTATGTTCAAGGGATGATTTAAAGAGTACTGGATGTTGCAATATTCAAGCTGAAAATACACACATTTATTACTGTGAAACATGCGATGACGTCTCAAAGTGCTGTGAAGTTTATGAGCATTGTGTCAGCTGCTGTCTAAATCCAGATAACGTAAATAAACAATTATTATGACTTACCTACAGTCACAAATACACTTTTCTCTCAATTCATTAGGTTCCGTTGCTGCAAAAAGCTATAGCTCAAGCTCAGAATGATCGACAAAAACTACTGTTTTTAAACGTGTTGGATCAATTTGATTTGTGTCTATCGATTTGTAGGAGGTAAGAGAGCACATAATTGAAGAAAAATTAATTACATTAAATACTATTTTCTCTATTTTTAATTTCACAGTAATAGTCAAAGTGTTGTTAATGAGCACTTCTACAAATCACCTAAGAAACATTGTTTTACGAAAACAGAGCCTCACGATTAGAGTAAATAATAATAATAAGTTATTTTTAAAGTGCCAAAATAAGAAGTTTAAAAAACATTAAAATTATTAAAATAGTGAAATCAAAATTATCAATCGGATAAGATTACTGAGTGATATCAAAAACTAGTTGTAAATAATGGCTCAAAGTAATTTTAGTCGTCAAGTGTCACAGTTTCGATATAGAGTTACACCTGGATATAAATATCAACAATTAGATAGGTGAGTTCATTTATTCATAATCACTAAAATCATCATCATCCACTTCCTGTACATAATCATCTTTTATCTTAATTCCATAATGAAGTTGACTTCCTCTCTGATAAGCCCACGCCATTCGTTGACTAGTAAATGTAATTCCAATTTGTCCATTTGAATCTATTCCTATTAATCCTCCAGTTCCTTTAAAATCATCTAACATTCTCTTACAAGCCTTTTCTGATGCAGTCTGAATGTCTTCTTTAAGATAATCCATTCTCTTTACAACATCATGTGCTATACATGCTCTCATTAAAATATCTCCATGACCTGTTGATGAAACTCCTGCAAATTTATTATCACAATAAGTCCCTGATCCAATAACTGGCGTGTCCCCAATTCTTCCCGTCATTTTTCCTCCTATACCTCCTGTAGATGTCGCAACTGCAATATTTCCACATCTATCAATTGCGACTGCACCGACAGTTCCAGTTTCTCCAATTGCTTCAAATTTCTTTTCGTGATCTTTCAATTTGTCGGTTTTAGAAAGCTGTTCATTGACATAAGTTTGCATAAAATTAGACGTAAAATCTGTTACAAGTTGTCCCGATGGATATAAAATCCTCATGCCATTACGTCTTGCAAAATTGATTGCACCATCTTCACAAAGAAATTTATGACGTGATTTCTGCATGACTAATTTCGCTAATGATATCGGATATAGAATGTCCTTGACTATACTAACGGCGCCAAAATTTAATGTTCTTCCGCACATAATACTTGCATCCATTTCTACATTTCCTTCTATTGTTAAAACACTTCCATAGCCTGCATTGAAATATTCATCCATCTCCATAACATTCACAGCTCTTTCTACAGCCTGTAGTGCATTATCTGTTTCTATTAGTGTCTTATATCCATAATATACTGATTTCTTAACTCCCTTGATTTTTCCTTCTTCACGACTTTGTGGTATTGTTCCAGCACCTCCATGCACAACTAGACATGGTTCGATATTCTTTTGAATTATTATCCTCTCAAGCTCCTTTTCCTTCCGCTTTTCTTTCTGTGCTTTCTCTTTCATTTTCGATTTAATACTGAAGCTTTAAATGAAATACTCATGAATGAAAAATCTTCGCATTCTCACTGATCTATTTTTGGTTCATCGACGATGCGAAGTTTACTGTCTATTATTTTGTTTTTGGTGCATTTCCGAATGATGTAATGAGTTTTCACTATCAGTCGATGATATTTTGAGGTTCAAGGTTAGTCTGGCACGTTTTGAGCTATTTTTAGGGATTTGGATTCTATTTTTATGGGAAATACCTATAATTGTTGCTTTTAATCAATAAATGAGTGAGTCTGAAGTCAGAATTAAGTAAATGACACCCAAATCTTTGAAAAAATAAGAAGCGGAAGTGAGATGTATTTTGTATAAAATTTATTATTTTAATCATGAGGACTCAATGTTAGTCAACAAATGTTATGAATTTTGATGAGATGAGGCAGTTATGTGGACTTTCCAGCAATTAATGATTCAACTTCTGATTGTTCCTGTAACAAAAAGTGAAAACAGATAATGATAAATATTCATTTATAAAACTACAAGTCACAAGTATTGAATTTGTACCACAATCTGTTCAAAATGATCATCTTTTTCGATTCCGTAGTGCATCATATTTAATTTCTGATAAGCCCATGCCTGCAAATATTAGCATTATGATAAATTTTAACTCATATCTTGTAAGTTATTTTATTACCATTCGACGTGATGTAAATGACACACCAACTTTTCCTTTATTATCAATCGTTATGGCACCGCCAGTTCCTAAAAATCTGTCTGTCATGTTTTTACACGCAATTTCTGTGGCTGTTTGTGCATCTTCACCGAGATAATCAATGCGTTTGACAATATCGTGAGCTAAACAGGCTTTCATGATTGTTTCTCCATGTCCAGTCGTTGATACTCCTCCATATCGATTGTCACAGTAAGTTCCACCTCCCAAAACTGGCGTGTCTCCTATTCGTCCTGGTAATTTACCTGTAATTCCTCCTGTAGATGTTGCTACTGCTATATTTCCATATTGATCGATTGCTACAGCTCCAACTGTGTCTCCTCTCTAAGGTTTTGGTACTTTATGATTTGTGGACATTCAATTAATATATTCATCCTTACCTCATCCTTCTTATGTCCGATTTCAGTTTTTGCAAATTTAAGATTTCCCGACTTTTGTTCTTCTTTCCAATTCTCAAGAGCATCCATTGCTTGATCAGTCACTAAAGCATTGGACTTTAAAATCTCAAATCCTTGTTGTCTCACAAAGTTGTTGGCACCATGAAATCCCAGGAAATTATGTGGTGTCTTCTCCATAACTCTTCGTGCTGCTGTAATTGGATGCATGATGTCAATAACTCCAGTTATACAACCGGCTTTTAATGTTTTCCCGTCCATAACAGACGCTTCCATTTCGACTGTTTTCTCGGTTGTCAAGACACTTCCATAACCGGCATTAAAATCAGCATCAAGTTCCATATGCTTTACTGCTGCTTCAACAGCATCCAATACACTTAATGTTTGATTTAAAACATAATGTCCAATTTGTGCAGCTTGTCTAACTCCACGTAATTTTCCCTGTACTCTTGATTTTGGGATATCTCCTGTTATTGTTTGCATTAAGATTTTAAACTGCTTGTTTGGCATGAATTATTTAAATTGATTAATTTACCTGCACCACCATGAACTAAAACAATTGGTTCCATTTTTTAAAAAAAAATATTTAAAATTTTATCAAGAATTTAAAAAGTTGCGAATTTAATTGTTTGAAAGTCAAGTGAAGACTACAGAAAGGAAAACAAAAACAAGATAAGAGGAGAATTTGTGAGAGAATTAATTCTTCGTTCTCAGTTTGATATTCTCTCTCGTAATTCTCACTAAGACTAGTTTATGCCTTTATTTTGCTCAAATACTGAAGGAACAACTTTAAAATCTTCTCCACGATTAACGCCAAAGTGAATAAATCTATTATCATTTTGACTAGCCCACGACATTTGAGGAGATGAAAATGCCTTTGCAAACTTCCCGTTTTTGTCAATTCCTATCACGCCACCATCCCCATTGAATCGATTCATCATTTCTTTGACTTTTGATGCTGCTACATTTTGTAAACTACTTTTAATAAAGCTTGTTGTTCTTAATATATCAAAGACTAGCACAGCTTTCATGATGACTTCACCTAGATTTTATATTTAAATATTATAAATAGAGGATAGACTTTAAATTGTCTCTAACCGGTTCCAGTAGCTGACATAGCTCCCATTTTATTATCAGCATAAGTTCCTGCACCAACAATCGGTGTATCACCAATTCTTCCTGATAATTTTCCGACCAAACCTCCAGTTGAGGTTCCAGCTGCAAGATTTCCTTTAGAATCTATTGCCACACACCCAACAGTTCCTCCTTCACCAATCTATAAAATTAAAAAAAAATCTTGATGACAAAAATGATTAAAATGGAGCTGAAACTGACATTTTCTTTGATTGTTGGGTCTCTGGTTAACAAATATCTTGCAAGTGCATCTCGAGCACCTTGCGTAACTAGTTCTCCTGGCTTTAAAATGGGAAAACTTTGATTAATAGCTAATTTCATTGCACCGTTTGCTCCCAAAAAGTTATAAAATGTTTTATCCATAACAGCTCTTGCCAATGAAATTGGATGTAGAATATTCTTGATGGCAGTAACAGCACCAACTTTCATATTTGATCCATCCATGATACAGGCATCCATTTCAACCTCACCATCTTCACTTAACACAGATCCATTGCCAGCATTAAAGTTTGTGTCTGCTTCCAATACATGAATGGCTTTTTCAACTGCTTCTAATGCACTTCCACCTGCTGCTAATATTTTATAGCCCGTCATTACCGATAAAATAGCTCCATTATTTTTTCCTTTAACCTGTAAGATTAAGAAGTATGTTTTGGAGACGTGATTCTTGTTGCCTAATAATTTTCACTTATACCCTATGTGCTGGTATGATACCTGCGCCTCCATGGCAGATTATAGCAGGTTTTGCAGCTCGAACAAAATTATTAAATTCAAAAATTATACAAATAAGAAATAAAAACTTCATGCTTGCGATTAGAATGGATCTAAATAGATTTGCAAATAGTGAATATGGACATTGCAGGAAATAAGCAGCTCTATTTATGTGCTCCCAAATCAAGTAATTTCCATTTAAGGGTGACTAATCTTATTAAAGCTTACATAAAGAAAATTGTTCCTCATAATGTGTCATATACGACTGTTTTCAAACTAGTTATTTTCAACAGTCGTTACTGATAAGTGTAAGCTAAGTGTTTAATCTTCTTTCTAAATAAAGCTAGTAATCACGTTCAAAATCACCCACTCGAAGTCTAAGTACTCAAAAAATAATACGGCCTGTTTCACTAAAGTGGATTATCCACTAATCGGATCATCCAATTTTTTAATCCGAGGATAAAGTGAGTGGACACACAATTAGAAATTTTTATATTTTCCAAATTTCTCCCTTATTTTTTAATGAAACCTATTAAAGTTATATATTTTTGGAAAGCTTGTCAAATTACCAATATAATGATTAGAAAAGTTTTGGAAAATTTGCAAGTAATATAGTCACTTTATGTAAAAAACGCATTTTATATATGCAAGTTTTTAATGTTTTTCATTTTTCTTAGCAACGACTCTATGAAAAGCTTTCAAATTTTGCACACTCATTGCTTATATAAATGTTAATAACTCGTATAAGTTTCAGAATTTTCCATTTAGTTTTTCACGGGTGTTCTTAATCTGAACTTTTCACAACTAAAATTAATTTTTCTCAAAAACTGCGCATTTTTATTAGTTGTTGTTAATCTTATTCTCTTTCATTTTTCAATAGCTTTCTATTGATATATAACAATCTAGGAAAAAGTATGAGACAAGAGATAAATCAATAAAAAAGTGTGAAAAATGTATGAAAATTTCCAAAATTCTCCGCCATCTTGAATTTATTTTGCTTTTTCTGGTTAAAACTATTAAATTTCATAGAAGTGTTGTACATTTTTGGAAAGATCTAGCTTAGGACTTTCATTCACTAGAAACCGCATGAGTCTACGATAAGTACAAATAAAATTATAGAAGCTTGAAGTTGGTAACATAAAAAAATTTCAAATTTTCAAAAATATTTTTTCAAAAATATTAATTTACTGCTTGTTGTTATTACTAGATGCATAAAAATGGTAGATTTTGTTGTTTTATGACATATTCTTACTAATAAACATTATCTCAAAGCTTAAATATCAAATGTACAAAAAAAATATTTTCTTTACATTGAACTGTCTTTTCTTACCAACTTTAAGCTGCTATAATTTTACTTGTGCTTATTGTAGACTCATGCGGTTTCTAATGAATGAAAGTCCTAAGCTAGATCTTTCCAAAAATGTACAACACTTCTTTGAAATTTAATTATTTTAACCAGAAAAAGCAAAATAAATTCAAGATGGCGAAGAAATTTTGGAAATTTTCATACATTTTTCACACTTTTTTATTGATTTCTCTCTTGTCTCATACTTTTTCCTAGATTGTTATATATCAATGAAAAGCTTTTAAAAAATTAAAGAGAACAAGATTAACAACAACTAATAAAAATGCGCAGTTTTTGAGAAAAATTAATTTTAGTTGTGAAAAGTTCAGATTAAGAACACCCGTGAAAAACTCAATGGAAAATTCTGAAACTTATACGAGTTATTAACATTTATATAAGCAATGAGTGTGCAAAATTTGAAAGCTTTTCATAGAGTCGTTGCTAAGAAAAATGAAAAACATTAAAAACTTGCATATATAAAATGCGTTTTTTACACAAAGTGACTATATTACTTGCAAATTTTCCAAAACTTTTCTAATCATTATATTGGAAATTTGACAAGCTTTCCAAAAATATGTAACTTTAATAGGTTTCATTAAAAAATAAGGGAGAAATTTGGAAAATATAAAAATTTCTAATTGTGTGTCCACTCACTTTAATCGATGAAATTTTTTACTTCGTTAAACTGCACGGTGAATCAGAAAAAATAGATTTGAAGAAAAGAATTTTTTGACGATGGATTTCACAAGAAAAGATTATCCTAGCAGGTGGATTATCCGAAGATTATCCTGAGATCATCCTAGGATTATTCACATAATTAATCTAAAATGTTAAAACTGGGTCCCACCAAGATTGAAAATTCAGATAATCTAAGGATAATCCATATACTAAAATTATTTTTTCGCGATATTCACTTTACAAGAAAAATGATTTTTCTCAAACTAGCTTGATTATTATTAACCAATTAATTCTACATCAGAAAAAAATTATTTGGATTTTCCACGAATCGAAGAAATAGATAATCCTAAAATGAGGATAATCGACGTTGGTGAAACAAGCCGATAAAGATTAAATAATACAGTGTAATATTATCAAGTGATTTTATTTTTAACTACACAAAACAATTTTTGTTCCTACATTCTTCAATATTGTAAGTAAAGTCGTCACCTGGATTGATTCCGTAATGAACTTCATTGTCTTTCTTCTGATAAGCCCAAGACATTTGATCAGACGAGAATCCTATGGCAATGTTGCCATTTTTATCAACACCAATGACTCCTCCATCGTCATCATATCTTTCTAACATTTCATCACAAGCTTGTTGAGCTGCGACTTGAATATCAAGTTTGCTTGTTAAGTTTGCTCGTTTTAAAATGTCGTAGATCAGAACTGACTTCATAATTACTTCGCCTGTATTCAATTCATAAATAGAACACGATGAAAGTTTTAGACTTATCTCATCTAGGGCCATTCATAAATGACGTCTATCAAATTAAAAGGATATCTGGCACCTTCTTGTTATCTTAAATGATAGACATCACTAGAGACAGTCCCTTTCTTAATCAAGTTCAATATTTTTTTTTCCACCTGATAAGATATTTTTAAGCTGAATTTACCTGTTCCTGTAGCTGATAAACCTCCCATATAATTATCAGCATAAGTCCCAGCACCTACGATTGGTGTATCGCCGATTCTTCCTGGCATTTTACCTGTCAATCCTCCTGTAGATGTACCAGCAACTATATTTCCATTTAAATCAATAGCTACACAACCGACAGTTCCACCTTCTCCAACCTATAGAAAAAAAGGACATGAATAAGGGTATTAAATCTGAACAGACAAAGGGCTTGCTAATGTAATAAGTTCAGCATGAGCCTTACTAAGTTTGCTCTTGTAAATTTAAGATTCAACGAACCATTTCACCAAGTGATACGTTCTGAGCCTGTCTCCATCTCTCTAACGAGTCCTTTGCTCTCTGTGTTGCTAAAGTTCCTTTAGGTAGAAATTCAAAGCCTTCAGATTTCGCCAAATTCATAGCACCTTCAGCTCCAAGAAAATTGAATTTTGTCTTTTCCATGACTCTTCTCGCTAATGTAATAGGATGGAATATATCCTGCATTCCAGTAATTGCACCAACTTTCATATTTGAGCCATCCATAATGCATGCATCCATTTCTACTTCTCCTGCACTTGTCAATACTGATCCATAGCCGGCATTAAAGTTTTCATCAACTTCCATGCTTTTTATTGCAATTTCAACAGCATCCATAGGACTTCCTCCATTTTTTAAGACTTCATATCCAAGCTGTACAGCTAAGACTGTTCCTCTATACTTTCCTACATACTATGGAATTATATTTTTAATAAGTTGTTCAAATATTATCCTTCGTTGCCTTCTTACTCGACTTGCATCAACTGAACCTGCTCCTCCATGACAAATGACTGTCGGATCGATTGCTTGACAAGCTACAAACAAAATAAAACAAGTCTTAATCAAAATTAACTGCTTCATTCTTAATTAAGTGCTAGGAATTAACTGACTTATCGATAACAATTATTAGCCAATTAGATTTCGCTTATCTATTAAGAATTGTGATTAGATAATAAGCCATTAAAATCTGACGGTAATTCCAAGATACTCAAAACAGCAACAAGCCAGGAACTTGAAGAGGTAAGGGGGCAAAACAATTTTATATATGGAAAATTAAAGGGGGAATTTTAGGATTTATTCGATTTATTCATAAAAACCCAAACTCACTCCCATGATTACGCGCCTGCAACAAGCTAAGGTGATAAAACGTCAAGTGTGAAAGCCGTTTGAACCTATCACTACGAAAATTATGAGTTTAATGTTTAATCACAACTTTAATTTTAATCTGTGGAATAATTTTATCAGTCATTTAATTCCATTACCAATAATCGGTCTGTGATAGTGAAAAAAAGAAAACTTAATAATAGAAGCGATTAGTGTGTGAACTTAAAAAATATCAACAGTGACAAATGGTTCTAGAAATTTTTTTTTTGCTGCTAAACATTCAAATGATTAATGAACGTGAAATTATGGAGAAAAAAAACTCATCTAGCACCTGATATTGGCTGACTATCTACTTTAATATTCGAACATTGTCCGTTATAACGCATGATTGATGATGAAGAAACTCATAAAGCATAAATGATGTGCAGTTTGTGATTTCTTCCTGCCCAGAGATAGAAGTGGTTGCAGATTCTTAATAATCCCTAGCTACGCATCTACTCATTAAAATATCAAATAAAATTTTAAGATACTTCTTAACTTAGATGAACCAATCCAGTCACTAAAGATTGTAATTTCACGAGTTTATATCTTGGAAAACCTGTTTAACATTTTTTGCTCCTTACTTATCCTTATAACAACTTTTAACTCACAAAATTTATTGATCTATAGAAGAAGGAGCTTTTACTGAGCAAATTTTAGTTATTTTTCGATTGCCGTGAACTGTAGAGTGTTTTATTGCTTTCGGTAAATCTGTACTTCTAAATCGCAGATGTATTTGTAAGTTTTGTAGATTAATTTAATTGAATATGTAAATATTTAGAGAAGCAAAGACAGAAAAATATAAATAATTTCCAGATAAATTATTAAAAAATTTACACAGAAAAATGGAAGTAGTTTATGGCAACAAAAAGTATAAAATTTAAAAATAGAAGTGTAAAATCTCAATTTTATCTTTTTTTGGCTTTAAGCTCATCGTATAAACGACTTTTAGTCGTTTTGTTTTTATTGATTGTTGGTGGATATGCAGCACCCTCATTTAGGCGAAAAACACTCGGACAAGGTGCTGTTGCATCAAATGGAAAGGAATGCGCTGAAATGGGAGCTGCAATCTTAAAACAAAGAGGTTCTGTAGCTGATGCTGCTATCACAACGTTGCTTTGTGAAGGAATTACATGTAAGATATCTCCGGATGCTGATGCAGTACAACTCATAGCTTTTTATAATGAATGATAAATAATCTATAGGTCCACAAAGTACAGGACTTGGTGGTGGCTTTCACATGACAATTTACATCAAAAATAGAAATTTTGTTGAATGCCTTGATGCTCGTGAAGTTGCACCGAAGAATGCATACGAGACAATGTTTGTGAATGACACGAAAAAGTCATCACTTGAAGGTGGATTGTCGATTGCCGTACCTGGTGAATTAAAAGGTATGTGGGAATTGCACAGGAAATACGGAAGATTGCCATGGAGTAAATTATTCGAACCTGTAATTAAATTGTGTCGCGAGGGACATGAAGTCACTGAATATCTAGCTAGAGTCTTGAGACTTAAAGAAAAGGAAATTAAGGATATTCCATCACTTCGTGAAATCTTTGTGAATCCTGCAACTGGTGAAATATGGAATGAAGGAGATAAACTTAAAAGACCTGCACTTGCTGATACGCTAGAAGTAATTGCTAGAGAAGGTGCCGATACTGTTTATAAAGTTGGTAAAATTGGTCGTCAACTGCTAGATGACATTAAAGAATTCGGTGGAATACTGATAGAAGAAGATTTTACCGATTATAGAGTAAAATGGTCAAAACCAGTTCAAACAACTTTGAGGGATGGACAAAAACTTTACTCTATGCCTTTAACTGGTTCTGGTGCTGTTTTAGTATTTGTAATGAATTTATTGAAAGGCTTTGACCTTAAAAAAGATACACTTTCATATCATCGTGTCATTGAAGCATTTAAACTGGCATATGCTCGTCGTTCTGAACTTGGAGATCCTGATTATGTTCAGCATGCAAGAGGTTTGGTTTATAACATGACGAGTCAGGCATATGCAGATATTGTTCGTAAGAAAATTGATAACAAGAAGTCTTATGACAATATAGAATATTATGGAGGTAAATCTATGGCTGCAGATGATCATGGAACTGCTCAAATCAGTATTCTTGCACCAAACGGAGATGCCATTTCCGCTACAGGAACAATAAATTATATTTTGGGATCATTAAGACGTTCTAAAACTGGAATCATTCTCAATGATGAAATGGATGACTTTTCAACACCAGGAAGCGTCAATGTTTATGGAATTCCACCATCAGAAGCGAATTTTATTCGACCAGGTAAACGACCAATGTCTTCTATGGCACCAACCATTATTGTTGACAAATATGGAGATGTTGATATGGTAATTGGAAGTGCAGGAGGCAGCAGAATCACAACAGCAATAGCAAATACAATTATCAATTATTACTTCTTTAATTCTGAAGAGTCTTTAGAGGAAACATTTGCTGCCAAGCGATTACATCATCAGCTCATTCCAAATAAGCTTCTATTCGAAGAAGGTTTCGATGATCAAATTATAAAGGACTTAAATGGAACTCTCAATCATTCAATAGAGAAAGTCACACAATCAATTGGATTTGGTGCACTCGTTGGAATTTATGTTGGCAAAGATTCCGTTCAAAGCGCATACGATCCGAGGAGAGGTGGTAGTGCTGTGGTATTTTAACGTAATGACAAGAAAAATTGATGTAATGAAATTAAACTGCAAAGGTGTCGTTCATTTATGTAAATTTAATGTCTAAGAAAGTAGGAGAGAGGAAGGAAATCATGCTTTTAAATAAAAACAATTATTAGCACAAAAAGTGATTTTATTTTTGCTTAGATTTTAATTTTGATCGATTGTAGTGTCATATTCATCAGCGGCAGTGAACCTTTCGTTGTATTATGTGACGCTTAGGATTTAAATCGACTTAGGTTGATATTTTTTAAAATGTCGTAGATCAGGACTGAATTCGAGATTTTCTGATCTTTGTCATTTATTTTTCTACGTTTTTCTGGTGAAGTTCTTGTAGAATTTCTCGTTTTCGATTTGTTTTTCAGTTTATTTAAGGAGGTGTAATTCATTAATGCCGTCTAGAGTATTGAAGATTTCACTAAATCTTTAGAGGTTTGCTAACTTAAACAATATGAATTTTGGAATTTAACATTTTGTTTGTAATTTTTCGGAATGTCATAAGTGAATCTTCTAATAAAATATACTTCATCCTCTATATTTGTTCCAATTAATCGCATAGTTTTAACAAAATGTTTAATTAGAATCAAACATTTCTAAAATCAATATCAAAAGTAATCAAATCTTTATCAGAACCAGTTTGTTTTGCTTAATATTTACATTTTCGATTAAATAAGGTTGAAGATTATAAGAAAATGATTTGTTCTCGTTTAAGAACATTTGGTGAGAGAGATAAATTCGAAATTTATTTATTTACTATCAAAACCGGCAATTCCAGAGAGTAAACTCCCAACTCTTGCTGATATCTCATTGAAATCTTAATGCTCCCTTTAAAAGTTTCTTATTCTCATTACGTCATATGTTTTCGGAAATGAGAGAAAGAGCTGAATGCCTCACAAAATTCTCACTCATAAACACAAAAGTATTATATTCAACGTGTGCTGTTTAGTTACTGTTCGAATTCCGGAGTAAACTGTTCAGTGCTGGTTATTGTACTTTAAATTTATGTCAATAGTTTCATATTGGTGCCGAAAATGGATCTGTAGGTTTTCAAATAAATTTATTTTTTATTAATAAGATGGTTCATTGACAATAAAGCTGGAATTAAAGTTCATAAACATAATCAACAATGCTGGGTCTTTTGTTAACAAGTTAACAATGATTCTCAATTAAATTTTAATCTTGTATTGTGTGTAATTTACTATACATTAAGTACACTGTCAAGGTCTTTAACAGATGAACATTTGCATATTTTTTGCTACCTGCATAATTCTTAATAATCACAAAATTTGAACTCTTTTGTTTGATTTTCTTTAATGCTGCTGAATAAGCATTAATGACGCTCATTTGAATAAAGAGAAAAATATACTAAATAATTTATGGCTTATTAAATTAACAAATTTTCATAGCTTTGTTTTCAATATAATCGAATTTTGAGTATGAAGATTAGTAAATATTTTGTGTCATATCATTTATGACCGATCCCATAGAAATTTTAAGATTATTTTCATAACAGAGCTTAAATAAGGAATGTGTCATAATCTGAAACATTTGTACCTGATGCAATACAAGAAAAGAAAAACATCACCTGTGATAACTTGGATGTATTATGTCGTTTAGTATTGAGCAATGCCTCCACTCTTTTGAATCAATTGAATTTTTAATTTAAATTCTCAAATTCTTAAAAGTGTGCATCTTTAAAAACCTTAAAAATACCTTCAAACTTACCAAAAACCCTGAATTAATTTACAAAGATCTCCATTAATTTACATCAGCTTATCGTTCACAATGTTTTGTAAATTTTCATAGATTAAATTTCAATTTTCACACAATTATTATTCTAATCATTTAAATGATCACGTATGAGAATATTTAGCAAATTGTGTAATATCTAAATGTTTCGGAGAAGCGTGGAGATTAAATGAAAATTGCAATTTAGTTAAAGCTATAATTTTGAACTTAAAAAAACACTTTTTTGTTGTCAATTTCATGATAATCGAGCTATAAAAATTGATAATATTCAAAAAAAAGGCTATTAAATTCAATTACCGTGACATAACTCATGACCAGAAAATTTCGCAAGTCATAATCATTAAAGATTTTGAAGTCTGATTATTAAGGAAATAACTGAAGTGAAATTTGATGAAATGTGGGAGTTTGAATTTGATTTGACAAACTTCACGATTTAATTTATTACAAAGAATGGATTTTTAATTGCTGAAAACTTCAAATGCTCAAGAATTTTGTTATTTAAAGATTAGATTCTTCAGAGCATCGTCAGGCAACTAAATTCGACTTTTCTGTTGATATTTGAACTTTAATGTTTACAACATAAGTCATTATATCTTTAAACAAATAATTACTTGAAAATCTTCTATTTAAATAAATTTATCAGATGAACTGCAAGTCTTGGAAGAAAACTTCATTAAGATACAATAAAGTTCTTTAAACAAATTTTAATGATAATGGAAAGAAAATAAAGGTTTTAAAAAGACTATTAAGTTTTGTTTATTTTAAGGAATATGATCAAGCTTTAAGGTTGATAAACTTTTACTTGCCATTCACATTTAAAATACCTTTTTACTTACATTGGTTGAATGCTCTAATTTCAGCTAGCCATCTATAAAAAGAGAATCGGAAAAATAAATAACTTTGACGAATTTATGGCTTGCAAAAGTCAAAAACATTCCATTTTCTTGTTCATGATTTATGAACAGCTGATTCTTTTCTCTGTTCAGTCAATCATCACTTCCAGAAACTCAACTAATGTTTTGTTTTACAAATTGTTACTTACTTGCTGATTGAAAAAATCAAGAATTGTGGGAAATTATTACTTATTCCTAATATTTACTAAACAGACTTAGGGTTCGTTCACTTATTACGTAACGCACTAGGGGGGGAGGGGGGGTCTAAGATTTTGTTACGGTTTGTTACAGGGGGAGGGGGGGGGGGGGGTCTAAATTTTGTTACGTAACTTTTCAAAAATTATATTTTTTTATAATTTTTTCTATATTAATTTTAAATTTTTTTAACGTTAAATTTCGACTAATGATTACAAAACTTATGAGTTTTTTTTTGCGTTTAGTTAATAATATGGATGTAAACGATTAATATATTTTTTTATTGCTTTCCTTCTATTTACTTTTAAAAAATTTAAAAAATTATTGTTACGTTATGGGGGGGGGGGAGGGGGGGTCTAAGATTTTGTTACGCTTTGTTACAGGGGGGGAGGGGGGGGGTCTAAAAACTTGTTTTTTTGCGTTACGTAATAAGTGAACGAGCCCTTATGGAACTACTGGAAAAAATCACATCTGAATTTCCCTTTAATAAATCATCATTCATTTGCCTTTTAATAAATATAATCAAACAATAACTTTAAATTAACTTTTTATCTCTAATTTCCTCTACTTACAGATCCAATATTTCACGTAAACGAATTTTTATAATTGTCTTCATATTAATTATCATCATAGTCGGTGCACTAACAGCTTATAACTTTGGAATTAGAAATGACTCAACACCAAGTCATAAGCTTATGCATGGTGCTGTCGCATCAAATGGAAAGGAATGTGCTGAAATGGGAGCATCGATATTAAAACAGAAAGGTTCTGTTGCTGATGCCGCAATTACAACATTGTTATGTGAAGGAATTACATGTAAGACTACTATTCTTATTAAGTTGATAAACATGGAGGTCAATAGCTTTATAGTTTCTCTTTAATTATGAATTTTGACCTCAAAAAATTGTTTTTATTATTTTGTGACACTTACTGTAAATATATAATACCTTTTAGGTCCTCAAAGCACCGGGCTTGGTGGTGGCTTTCATATGACGATTTACATAAAAAGTAAAAACTTGGTTGAATGTCTTGACGCTCGTGAAGTTGCACCAAAGAATGCATACGAGACAATGTTTGTAAATGACACGAAAAAGTCATCACTTGAAGGTGGATTGTCGATTGCAGTACCTGGCGAATTAAAAGGTATGTGGGAATTACATCAAAAATATGGAAAGTTACCGTGGAGTAAGTTATTTGAGCCTGTAATTAAATTGTGTCGCGAGGGGCATGAAGTCACTGAGTATCTAGCTAGAGTCTTAAGAATTAAGGAAAAGGATATTAAGGAAATTCCTTCAATTCGTGAAGTTTTTGTCAATCCTGAAACCGGTGAAATATGGAATGCTGGTGATAAAATTAAAAGACTTGCTCTAGCTGATACACTAGAAGTAATATCCAAAGATGGTGCTGACACAATTTATAAAATGGGTAAAATTGGTCGTCAACTGCTAGATGACATTAAAGAATTCGGTGGAATTTTGACTGAAGAAGATTTTACTGATTATAAAGTAAAATGGGTAAAACCAGCAGAGGCGACACTGAAAGGAGAACAAAAACTTTATTCTATGCCTTTAACTGGTTCTGGTGCTGTTTTAGTATTTATAATGAACTTATTGAAAGGATTCGATCTTAAAAAAGACACATTGTCATATCATAGAATTATTGAATCTTATAAACTTGCTTATGCTCGTCGTTCCGAACTTGCTGATCCCGATTTTGTTGAAAGTGCTAAAATTCTAGTTCAAAACATGACTGATCCTAATTTTGCTGATTTGATGCGTAAGAAGATTAACAACACAAGGTCATTCGATAACATTGAGTACTATGGTGGACATTTTGTATCAGAAGAGGATCATGGAACTGCGCACATAAGTATTCTTGCACCAAACGGTGATGCTATTTCTGCTACGGGAACAATAAATTATATTTTGGGATCATTAAGACGTTCTAAAACTGGAATCATTCTCAATGATGAAATGGATGACTTTTCAACACCTGGAAGCGTCAACGTTTATGGAATTCCACCATCAGAAGCGAATTTTATTCGACCAGGTAAACGACCAATGTCTTCTATGGCACCAACCATAATCGTTAATAAACATGGAGATGTTGATATGGTAATTGGAAGTGCAGGAGGCAGCAGAATCACAACAGCAATAGCAAACACGATTATCAATTACTACTTCTTTAATTCTGAAGAGTCATTGTGGAACACATTTGCACAAAAGAGATTGCATCATCAGCTTATTCCTAATAAACTTTATTTTGAAGATGGATTTGATGATGAAATTATCAAAGAATTAAATTCAACTTATAGGCACTCAATAGAAATGGTAACACAATCAATTGGATTTGGTGCACTTGTTGGAATTTATGTTGATGAAGATTCCGTTCAAAGTGCGTACGATCCACGACGTGGAGGCAGTTCCGTGGTGTTTTAATGTGATAGCTTAAATGATTTATTTTCTGTTCCAAATTTTTGATTTTGAAAAGACTTCTGTCTTCGTTTCCACTTACCAATTTTTTAAAAAGTAGAAATCTAGGATTAATGTTAATTATAATGTATTTTTGATAAACAATTCAATAAATTCGGTAAATAACAATTTTAATATTTATTTATTTTGCATTATTCCAATTACAGTCGTTGATAAATAATTAAATTGATCTCCTTATAACCATATTTAGCATCAAATCTTTACATTTAGATGCAATAACAAAGTCAACAAATGGCACAGACTTAAAAATACAAATAAATCATTCAGAAAGAAGTAATAAATAAGATAAACAGTCTACAGATTTGTAATAATAAGTACTTAATTTACGTCTCAGCTTCTTTCTTTATCGGCGTTCCATTTTGATCTATTTCAACGGATGGATTAAGTTTTGGATAGAAACCACCATATTCAATTCTTAAACTTCTTCCATTCTCAACATTTCTTCGGAATTTAATTCCATCTTTTGTCGAAACATTTACTGCCCAATAGTCTTCATTATTCGGTGTTGGACCAACATAATTGTCTTTATGGATTGTCGTGGTTTGTGACTGAGAGGTTAAACTATCTGTCAACCATGATGATGGAATTGTTGCAACACCTTGATGCGAGTTGTATGCTGTGTAACTTCCTGAAAAGAGAAATTTCGCTTTAAGCAAAAGAGACGCAAATTCCAAAAAAACATTTTAATTACCGGCATAGGGATCTGGACTGCTGTAAGAGCTACTGATTGGATTCAATACCGTGCTTAAAGCCGGAACACCATAAACAGGCTTGATAGGATTGAGATGTGATGTTGCATAACGACTATAATCTAAAACTGGCGATTCCTTAATTGGTTCAATCGTCGTATATGTTGAGGCAACTAATTGATGTTTATTAAGTTGATTTAATTGATATTGTGGACTTGCTGGCACGTAAATGTGCTTCACTTCCTCTTTCTTCGTGAGAAATCTAAATAAAGATTCAAAATCGAAAAGTTTATGCTTATTCGGAATAGTTTTTGCAATCACATGGAAATCCGGTTTATGATAGATATGCTTTTCGTATGGTACAGCATATGGAACTGGATATGGACGGTCAATAAATTTCTCCACCGTTTGAATCACTGGTTTTTCTACGATCTTCTCAACTGTTTGAAAGAAAGGCTTTTCAATAATTTTCTCAACTGGACGGTCAACGATTTTCTCAATATATACTGGCTTTTCAACTGTCTGAATGACAGGTCTATCCACAATTTTCTCTACTGTATGAATGACTGGTTTCTCGACAATCTTCTCCACTGGACGATCTATGAATTTTTCAACAATCCTTTCAACTTCATAAGGTTCTTTAACAATCTTCTCAATGTACACTGGCTTTTCGACAGTCTGAATCACTGGCTGATGTACAATTTTAGTTTCTGGTGGTGATTTCACATAAACTGTCTTTTCAACTGGAACTTTAACTTCTTTAATGACTTGCTTTTCATAAATAACTGGCTGATGTACATATTTGGTCTCTGGAGGTGATTTAATGTACACTGGACGATCAACAATCTTCTCTACTTCCACAGGCTGCTTTACAATTTTTTCTACAAATATTGGCTTCTCTACTGTTTTTACAACTGGCTGATGCACAACTTTTTCAACATATTCGGGTGGGCTTTTTATGAAGACTGGACGATCAACGATTTTGGTTTCTGGAGGTGATTGAATATAAACTGGTCGATCCACTGGAACTTCTTTGACTACTTCTTTTTCGACAACAATTGGCTGATGGAACACTGCAGGCGGCTGAGTCTTTTCAATAATCACAGGCTGTGGAACAATTTGTGGACGAACTTTTTCAACAATGACTGACTGAGTTACAATTTGTGGACGAATCTTCTCAATGAAAACTGGTTTAGTAACAGCAGGAGCATAAGTGTTTTTAATAATAATAGGCTGAGTAGCAAGTGTAGGCTGAATCTTCTCAGTGAATATTGGCTGATTAACAACTGGTGGTTGAGGTTTTTGAATAAAAATTGGCTGAGTAACAATGGGTGTAGGCGTTGTGACAAAAATACGATCTCCATATGCAGGCTTTCTTGAAGTAATAATTTGTACATTTTTCCTGACTTCCACAATCGTTTTCTTATCTGCTCCATGTCCATCAATGCAATCATCCAAGTTCTCGTTTGTTAATCGCACGCCAGCATGTACTGGCGCAAGAATAGCATTTGGAATTGGACGTGGTGTAATTGGCACTTCCTTGCTTTTACAGCAATTATTTCCATTTTTGCAGCAATCATCACTTGATGACTCAATTATTGTGCGTGCTGTTGTCGTTGAATATGATTGCGAGGTAGTTGAGTGCTCCTCAGAATGATATTTCTTAAAGTTTCTTAAAAATTGACGACTTGGCGCTTCCTTTAATGTTGATGATGTTGAGCCTAAGAAATCTTGGTCTTTATCTTCTACTAAATACTGATAATTATTGCTAATCGTGTGTCCATTAATAACCTTTGGCGTGCTTGATTCAACTTTTTCATTTTCTAAAATTTGAACATTAATCTGCTTCTGTGGCTGATAATTTTCAAACAACTTCAATTGCTTGGATTTCTGCTTTACAATTATTGTGTCGTCTTGTTCTTCACCAACAACAATTGGTGCTTCAAATTGCGCTTCTTCGGCTTTCTGTGCATCGTCTCTAATTTTTGCATTTTCTTGGTTATTCGTTGCTACATCTCCCGGTGTGGTTTGAACTTGCAATAAATTTCCACTTAATGTCGGTGTAATTTCATCAAGATTTTTAATTCCGTTTTCAACAAAATTAATATTTTCACTGCTTGATGCGACTGCCGGTGTTGGTAAAGCTGTTGGAAAAATGGACATAATTGGTTGTTGTGATTCCATTCCAGCCATCGACACCATCGGTTGTTGATGATAAATCACTTCATGTGGTTTTTGCTGTTGATAGAAATAATTGAGTTGTGGTGCATTCTGTTGAGCATATTCATAGACAAATGGAATTTGCTGCTGTTGATGATAAATCAATGGTACTGGATGCTTCTCATGTTTATGAAACTGTGGAGGTGGAGCATGATGGAAGAGCATATTCGGATTAGTTGGTGGAATAAATTGAATTTGCTCGTGTTGCTGTAAAGGATAAAGTTTTGTATTGACATTTGCCCCATAATGTCTGTTATCGACTGTTGGAGCATGAGTTGGTAGCACTTTTGTGTCAAAAGCAATTTGTGCTTGTGCATATGATGCTTCGGCTTGCTCTTGAGGCCTTTGATTTAAATTTTTCTCAGACAATTGATTGAAAACTTCATTAGTATTCAATGTTGTTTGATTTAATCTCTCAACAGCATGTTGCCCGAGAGCAAAGTGACCAGATACGCGATGATGTGGACCACTCGATGAGTATCTATTATGGTGAAGAGAAATGAATAATGTACATTATAATAACAATATCATGATAACGATGACAGCGCAAATGTAAGAAGCTATTACATTAAATGAAAGTTATATCCATTGTATCCGAAAGGTTTTTTTCTTCATGCTTACATTACACTTTACATTTCTTCTTTTACTTACTTACTTTGATTTTAATATTACTTATAAGCAGAGTTGGTGCTTAAGATCAATCAACTTGTCTTTACACTAGGAAGAAAGAATATCCTAATATATCGAGGATTCCTTTAAGACAACTCTGCTTATAAGCTGAAAATGCTAATTGAAATTTTTTTTTTGTTATTTCTTTCTTACCGTGTTATTGGAAAAAATCCCCAATCGTCAGCAATGTAGTTGACTATCGTCTTACTTTCACCCTTTGGCAAATTTACAAAATAATTGCCTGCAGTATTGTCACCATATCTTATCTCTTTATGCCCTTGTGCTGCCTGATTATTCCGATTCGCAATAAAGTAATTGTATTCATATTTTGGCGGATACTGGATACAAAGTGAAAGAGAACAAAAAAAAAGAATGGATAAGAAACATGCAGACGAGAGATAAACAACAAAGTGTTGGAAATTGTGAATTAATAAATCATATTTTGTGCATGCATATCGAGGTGCTTATCATGAATTACATGATGAAAAGTACGCGTATGAAGCGACCGCCACGAAAGTTGTGCATACGAAAATAAAAATCATTGCCATGTTAGGGATATGAAATAATCAATAAAACAAGTCTTTCGAGTTACGTTGAACTGTTAATGATCTTCAAAAGAGGTGAATATTATTAAATGTAAAGCAGAAAATTCACTTTCCAAATTGAAAAATAGCCATGCATGCTCTGTGCACATAACATGATGCCATAAATACATACATAGCTTTTGTCTGGGGCGACACATAAACAAATGAAATGAAAATGAAAGATAAATTGGAGGTCTTATTATTATTTTTTTTGCGCTTACCTTATCGGGAACTTTAGGCTTCTCAATATAATTTGGAGGTTTAACGGCTATCACCAAGCAGTGAAGTAATGTGACCACAAGAAATAATCTCTGCGGGGTGAAATGTAAATTGTGAAATAATTTTAAATATGGTAGAGAGAGACATTCTACATTCGTAATTGGTAGCTGGAACTGGAATTTTGTAGCATGCAAAAATATCAAAAGTAATTACGGTAATATTATGCAATGGCTTTTAGCGAAATTTTCGTTTGATCTCATTTCTCATTTTTTTTTTATTTCTTTCCGCTAGTGTCAAAAGAAAGTAAAGTAAAATATCCGTATTATGAAAAAAAAATTGATTAAAGGCACAAAACAATGTTTGGAACAATATTTAAATTCAAGCCGGTTGCTACTCACATTGTTGGTGTTCATAATTTTTTGAACAATGACATGACGAATTACAACCACATCATAAATTTTCATATCTATCATCTCCATCAATCGAATGGGAAATTGATCATTTATAACAAATATTATAATTTGCACGGCTTTCATTTCATGTAAATTAATATTCAAACTGTAATCAACACCGAGGAAGGAGGGTTTCGTGTTGCCAACAATTATTAAATCATATACTTTTTAAATCGGTTTGGTTGAGTCTATCACCATTTCATTATTATGAGTTAATTGATTGGCATGCAAACTTCATTTGTGGATGGGAATTTTATTAGGTATGTCATGTGAGATGATTGAGGAAACTTATACTTCTCAGAAATTTTTTGAGTCATTTCTTTCATTCTAGTATTTTTGGTTTTTTTTTCATTTCTAAGAGATTTTTTTTTGGCGTCATATAGCACTTCTTGATGTTGTTAAAGTCTAAGTTTCCAAATTTGAATAAAATATTAGATTGTTTGTTCTTGAAGATTGCACAATATTTGGATTCGATTTCTAATAACTTTAAATGTCAAAGAAGTTTAGATTGCTTTTGGGGCCGTTCACTTATTACGTTACGCAAAAAAACGACTTTTTTCACCCCCTCCCCTCCTTGTTACAATATGTTAAAATTAACCCCCCCCCCCTGAACGTTCATAATTTATTTTATCATTAAAAAGATGGAAAAAAATGTTTTTCGTGTGAATTTGTTTTTCGTGAACTTTTTTTTAAAAGACAGACGACGTTACATACTTCTTGACACCCCCCCCCCCCTATGTTACATTTTGTTACAATTTTTCAACCCCCCCCCCCCTAAAATGCGAACGTAATAAGTGAACGGCCCCTTTGGGGAATTTTCAAAAACGCGAAAAGTGTGAAAGGAAGAATAAATTTGTTCCTATCGAATAAGTCACTGATGTCTGTTTTATTTATTAATGCATTTGTATGTTTTTAAAACCAATAATTTATCTATAATTTTATTGCAAAGTCATCTTTCGCATATTTATTTGAATTGTAAAAAATAAAACTTCATTTAAGAATTTTAGAATTTCTAATTTGCACAAAATATTCATTTAGGAACAGGAAAGCACAAATATGGAAAATAGAATTTCAGATTTGACATCAGAATGTTAATTAAATTATCAATAAATTCACAAATAAATAATCAAAAAGGTAGGATTCCCCTTAAAGTAAATATTCTTTGGGATTTTCTGAATACATTCTAGGATTTGCACATATGAATAATTGCATGTTTGCTGTTATAATTACATATATTAGAATATATTTTATAATCTCTATTAATCTCAGTCTGGTATTTCCAAATTGTTTGAAATCAACAATTTTTCTAAAAGAATCATTCAAAAATCATCAAATTTTCAAAGATCATATCCATAAAGCATCACAAAAGATCGATTAAATTGAGATCGATTCGGCAATTTGCGCGCAATCATAAACATTACAAAAGCTTTCAATGTCGTGTAAAGTATAAATATTTATCTATCATTTTTCATCCGCTGGAAGTGACTTCCATGTGAATGTTAAGATATTAAGTTAATGACTTAATAATGCAATAACTCTGTGTGAAAATTATTAACGTTTAAAGAGATTGAGAGAGAAATAAATATGGATTTTAAAGCTAGCATAAAATTTAATAAACCTATAAGAAGAAAGTAAACTTCATGATGAAGTAATTTGTTGGAATTAATAATAGTCTTTGTAAAATTTTAAGGCTTTTTAGATCAAAATCTTTTACATCGATAAATTTGATGCACTTCCTGAAAAAAATTAAACTAAAATCAAATAAAATAAGGAAATCGGAAAGTTTCACGTGAATTTCGTTAAGTGCAAGTCCAGTTAATTGAGGTAACGTTTTTAGACAAAAATAGTCATCAAAACTGACACTGTTGACTGACAAATTAAAATATTTTCCTAGTTTTTTATTAACTTTTTTCCATTTAATGTCGATCATGCCTCGTTTTCGTCAACATTTCTCTTTGTTTTCACTCACATCAAATCGCTTGTTGTTACTGAACATCGTGAACTTTATTTTTTATTGTGAATGTTTCAATTAAATGCACGATTCTTACATATAGCGTTTTAGCTCTCTTGTTATGTCGCTTGCATATAAAAAATTATTATTATTGGATTAATTTCAATTTCTTCTTTTCATTTTCTTTTCAAGTTCAAGTTTGCGCTTCTTGTGAGTGAGATTGTAAGTTTATCTTATTGATGTGCATGTTTTCTGGTTGAACTGCTGGTTTAACAAGGCATTTAATAGTTGCGGTTTCATTTAAGTTCAGAGATTTTATTTAAGTGCGTTTGTCTGTCATTAGATAATTGAATTAATATAAATTTTTGGAGTTGCATAATTTGTAAAAGAAGGAACAATATTTGATTAACAGGATTTGAACCTTATTCGTATACTTTCATTCTTTTGAATATTGTCTTATTCGAATCTGAATTCCGGCTTAATATTGCAACTTATTATGCATTAGTCAACATAATAAACATTATTACCAAACTTACTATTTTAAACCAATAGAAAAAAATGCGTTAAAATCTCCGATCACAATAACACCGTCCAACTCATTCTCTTCATTCATCCTCTTATGCGAGTTCAATTAAGTGTTAAAGTGGATTAGTCGATTGATTGACATTTTGTTGTATTTTTTTTTGTGTGCCGCTTAAAACTTTCATCCATTTCTCCTCACTTTATTAGCTTTTATGGTAGCTAATTTAATTGGAAGCATTGAATATTTTGTTTTCTCAATTATTTCCAGTAATTTGATTGGCATGCGCAATTTAGTATTGATTTATTTGTCATTAAATATTGTTATTGGCAAAAATTAAATAGCCATGGGATTATTGCCGATTAATATCGAATTAATTCAATTATTTAAGGAAGATTTTAACGCATAAATCATGAAGAGTGTTTAAAAGTTCTTAAAATTCAAGCCACGCATGCAGTTGAGAACTTAAATTGACAATATTTTTAATGATTTCATTATTTAATAAGATCCATAAATTGTTTGGCTTAACAAATTGACGATATTCCATTAACTGTTTCAACAAAACCAAAGAGTCGTCATGTCTGAAGACGAAAATATCACTAAGGCATATATAATTTAATTAGTACATATTTCCAAGAGCTATTAACAACATTTAAAGCTTACGACAGATATTAAAGAGATAATTGTGCTAATTTGTATTTTGGGCTGATCTTGCGAGTGTTTTGATGCATTTTTTGATTTTTACATGCAGCAATTGAAATTTATATGTAAATTGAAAATAATTTGCAAGCTTTAATCATGCATAGTGATGAGAAAATAATCAATAATTCTGCTATAATTCGGAGTTTATTTTACTTTATTGGCAGATTTTGGAAATTAATAAATTTTAAGAGGAATGAGATTACGACCAATTTATTTAAGGCGATTGGAATGGAAATGATTTAGATAAATATATAAATACTCTTAATGTTTCAATGATTTCTCTAAAGATTCATGGGAAATTTTCGTGAAATTTCTTAATTAATTTTTTTAAACTTCATTTTTTGAGTTTTTTCTACTTGAGGTTGTAGCCAAAATTATCTAGGATTATTTGAGAAATTTGAATCTTAGTAAGGTTTGTACTTTAATAGATTGACTTTATAAAATCAATTTTTGCAGTTTTAATAGTG